CCCATCCTCTATAAGAGCAGAAAGTGGTCTTAACCACTGCAACCTTGACAGTTCACGCCTCCACCAGGGCTGTCTGAATAGGGCTTAGTTTTGCTTTGTTTTAAAAGTTTTCAATCCTCTCAGTTTTGAATATATTGCCTAGGAACTCGACTACTACCCAGTTTGTTTGGGGTAGATATGTAATTTTCTAGCCTTCTAACCTGAACACTTAAAAATAAAACCACCATCATGCTACACATTCACTGGACCACGTTTAAGAAGCCCCATTCTCAGAGGCAGGAGGATTTCTGGGAGTTTGGGGCCAGGCTGGTTTACACAGTGGGTTCCAGGACAGGCTCTAAAGTTACAGAGACTAAAAAAAGAAGGCCCATTCTCTTCAAGCAAGCTCATCTGTACTCTGATTAGCCAAACATTCTTAAGATAGGCTAGCTCCTGGGAAAACATATTTTCCTAAACTGCAAGAATCAAATAAGAAATTAGTCAAGAAATGCCTTGGTCTGAGCTGAGGGTAGATAGCAGGGTCCAGCACCAGCAGGGAGGGGCCAGAAGCATGGAACCCGGGGCTTCTAGTCATTAATTCTGGTTTGGCAACATTCTCAGAATGAATTTTTCTTTTTTTCTGGTGTGTGTGTGTCCTTCCTCAGGCTCAGTCCATCTTGTTATCTGAGACAGGCCTGGAGAGTGACAAGTAGACTAGACTGGCTGCCTCTCGAGCCCCAGGGATTTGGGCCTGTTGCTTCTCCAAGCCTGTGCCACTACATCCAGCCTTTCCTTTCTTTTCTTTTAAACAGGTGTTGTTTTAAACCGGAGGTCATTGTGTTTCCAAGGCAAGCATTTTACCAACTGAGCTACCATTCCAGCCCCTAGGTTGGAGTGTGTATGTTTGTATCAGAGATGGATGTTGAATGTCTTCCTCATTTGCACTCCCTTTTTTGAGAAGGTCTCTCATTTAATCTAGAATTTACAGATTCAGCTGGGCTGGTTGGTCAGGGAGTCCCAGAAGTTTCTACCTTCCCAAGAGCTAGATCTACAGATATGTGCTGCCACGCAGGTTTTTGCTTTAGATTTACATGTGTGTATGTTAGTGTATGCCTGTGTCCAAGCATACTGCAGATGCCAGGTGTCAGATCCCATGGTGTCAAGAATCAGTCATCTGCAGGAAGCCCAATTTGTCACGTGTGCTGGGATCCAAACTCTGGGCCTCATGTTTGCACAGCAAGCACTTTTACTCAACCATCTTCCCCTGGCCTCTAAGTTTGAATTTTTGACATAACCCACCTTCCTACTTCCAACATATAATATGTTTCACGTGCACGTACACACACACACTTACTACATCCCCAGTTGGCACACCCCACATTTGGAACACCTCCCAAGGCTGTGTTTACTATTTCACTCTTCCCCAGGTCAAGAGAGTGCCAGGTACAGAGGGAATGAAATGCAATATAAGCACTGCTAAGTGTTTCAGGCATGCTGCCTGCACTGTACCTTGTCACTGACAGCCACCAACACCACTTGATGTTTCCAGAATACTTTTGACCCTTCCCACCACTGATGACCACATGTCCATTTCTGTAACTCTTTTGGAAATTTTAGTAAAAAATAAGTCAAGTAAGAAAAATTAAGGTTTATTTGTATATTAATCAGCAATTGATCTGAATAAGGCACATTCAATGTCATCAATATGGAAACAAATGCAAATAGCAGTCATGGTGACATGAGCAAGTCAGATATCAATACTGTCAAAGCCATTAAATTTGTAAATACATAAAGGAAAATTGGTGGTTACGGAATTTTGATTAAATAGAAAAGGAAGGTGTTGGTGAAAACCATCTGGCTACATTTGTCTGTCACATACTAACAGTGGCGCTCACAGTGCTCCTGTCTTCTAACAAGGACAAGCCAAAGGCTAAGAGAAAATGCTCTATCACCAGCCAGCTGTCAGAGTAGGCCACAGGCTGAGCTCACTACCCTAAGCCTGATGGCTTCCAGGTGAAATTTACTAGAGTTATTTCAGTGTTAAAATATCTCTAGAACTCCTTTGCTGATCTTCTGAAAGTTAATTTAAAAATCTGAATTTTACCTAAAATTCTGAATTTTACCTCGAAGGGAAAAACCTAAGTCCAAAGACAGTTTCTAATTCCCTTGCTTTCTTCTTGGTATTACTCAAAAAACTATATATATATATATATATATATATATATATATATATATATATCTGTTCTCTGGTATTAATTAAACTGTGATGTTCAAATATGATGTTCGTTATCATGTAGCCACAAATAACTTTTCTAAGTCAAGAAAATTATCACAAATAAAGAATTACTATACACATAAAAGGCTGAAAAACTGCCGGGTGGTGGTGGTGCACACCTTTAATCCCAGCACTCGGGAGGCAGAAGCAGGCAAATCTCTGTGAGTTTGAGGCCAGCCTGGTCTACAGAGCAAGTTCCAGGTCAGGCTCCAAAGCTACAGAAAAAGCCTGTCTTGAAAAATCTGAAAAATGTGAAAAATAATGGACAACACATCAGATAATTTTAATTATGTGTACATTTTAAAATATATTTTTGTTTAAAAAGTAATTGCATTAAGCTGGTGTAGTAATAATCCTATAATCCCACTACATAGAAGTTGAAGGCCTGAGAATCACTAGTTTGGGTTATGTGACTCTGCATCAAAAACAGAAAATAATTTGTTCTGACCCCAAACTGATATATGCTTCTTTTCACAATGATTTTTAAGAAGTCTGGGGATGTAGCTTAGTGGTAGGGCACTTTCCTAAAGTGTCAAGGCCCAGCATTCGATCCCCAGTACTAAAAACCAAAATTAAATTAAAAAAAGGTTTTTGAAATAGTGGATAGAAAACTATTCTCAGTTGACTACACTTATGTATAGAAGGAAAAGTGTATTTTAACAAAATCAACAGTAAAAAAAAAATGAAAGTTAATTTTAGAAATGTATTATACCCTAAATTTATGTGATAGCAATTATGTAAAATTATATTCAACTGAATGAAGAAACTTGTTTCACCCATGATCTGAGCCTCTGACATAGACTGTGTTCAATTACTTCAGGCCAGTTCCTCTGCAGTATGAGGTAGCACAGGCTGAAGGCCAACCCAACAGCTCTGCAAGGCACCTTTGGTTTTATGTGATGTGATGCTAGTAGCTAAGAAAGCTGGGTGTGATGGTATATACCTAAACCCCCCGCACTCCAGGAACTGAAGCAGGAGAAACTACTGTAAGTTCAAAGCCAGCCTTGGCTACAGAGTGAGGACCAGGGCTATGTGACAAGCCACTAACATTCAAAACAAATGAATAGAAGTCTAGAAAAAAAATAAAATAAAAAATCAAATATGGCATACAGATTTTTCTTCAGTATCTCTGTTTTACATTGAGTTGACACTCAAATGCCATTCACTATGCTTAAACTTTGTGTTTAGGGTCTTCTCTCAAATCTGTTGCAGGATTCCCTCAAAATCCCAAATGCAGACTGCTTCTTCCTGTGTACTTCCGTAACTGAGCACATCACAGGCTCTGGCCAAAGACAACCTGTGTCCTTTCTGTGGCAAATGTTTTCAGATCACTCCCCACCCCAGGACTTTGTGACCCCTCTTAACTACCAATAGAGATCTTCTTAGTGTTCCCTAAAATCCCTACAGACTCATATAACTTACCTTCTTAATTATATACATGATCTCATTTATATACATGATCTCATAGCAGCAGACCCTGCAAACCCAAGTGCAAAAGTCTAGGGCTATTCCCATCCATCCACTCAACGGAAGATACCTTTTGTGGGTCAGGGTCATTTAACTAGAGTTTTATGTTAGAGTTCATGTGCTATTGGCTCCAGTCTAACAAGCACAGGTTGTAGCTTAACTGATGTTGGCCATGATTCCTCTTTCTCTTTCCTATGTAGAAAGAACATCCTCTTGCGTTTCTCCAATTCCTTTCCTAATGGCATTGCTAACTAGCTGTCAAGAAACAAATGTAATGTCCCATATTGCACAGCAAATCCCATTTGGTAAAGTTATGCCGGCTGCTAATACCGGGTCTTGTCTGAAATGGCATTCTCACCACAGATTATGACATGCCAGCCAGCAAGGTCAGAAGTGATTAACAAAAAATGAGCAAAAGTCAGAGGCCATGCCCAGCCCATCTGCAGGCCACTATCACCCTGTCCAACAGACCTCACTTCACCTCCTAAGCTTTAACACTTTCATCTCTTCCTACCTGAGTTCGCACCTTCTAGAATGTGCTTTCACTTCATCAATGACTTTCAAACTTCCTTCTCAGTTAAACTTTGTTCTACTGAAATCTTAACAGAGAATCCCAAACACAGCAGGCAAGAGCACAGATATCCTCACATGAGGAGGGGCTACTGGTAGGCACAAAGAAATAATACAGCCAGTTGGGATTTCTTCATTTCCAGTGATTACTAATAATTTCTACATTGATTCCAATACTTGGGAACATTTTTTAAAAAATGATTTATCTGTATTTTTATGTGCATTGGTATTTTGCCTGCACCACACACCTGTGTGAGGGTGTCAGATCTTGGAGTTAGACAGTTGTTATCTACCATGTAGGTGCTGGGAATTAGACCCTGATCCTTTGGAAAAGCAGCCAGTGCTCTTAACCACTGAGCCATTTCTCTAGTCACCAACATTTTTTTTTTTTTTTTTAAATGAAGCAGTTTTTACCTCAACTCATTAGTGGAATAAAAGCATACATGCACCAAGTTCTTAGGTAGGATTTGCAGGAATGAATTCTAGTTTCCTGTTTTCATCTGCTCAAAGTGCAAATCCATGTAAGACACAACCCCACAACTGCATTATTAAAGTAAGTCTTAAAACACTCAGTATGGCTGGGCGTTGGTGGTGCATGCCTTTAATCCCAGCACTTGGGAGGCAGAGGCAGAGGCAGGCGGATCTCTGTGAGTTCAAGACCAGCCTGGTCTACTGTGTGAGTTCCAGAACAGCCTCCAAAGCCACAGAGAAACCCTGTCTTGAAAAAACCAAAACTAAACCAAACAAAGCAACAAAAAACCCACTTAGAATGGTAGAAGAGTTCCCTGAAATCACTAGAATTATTAGTCTGAGCCCAAACACTGCCCACGAGGCCCTGTGGGGTCCTGGAAAGGCAGCATTTCCTCTGAAATCAGATCTTCCTGTGCAATGATTCTGCCCATGTACTGGAGATTTAAACAATCCCTCAGTTTTATGTATCATGCTGTATTTTAAAAACCTGATCTCCTTAAAAAGACAAAGAAAACCATCCCATCAGGCCAATTGCTAGCTTCATCGACGTTTAGACTAGAAAGGTTTTACAAAAAAAAAAAAAAAAAAAAAGAAAGCAAGCAAGCTTCTTTTCTAAAATAAGACCCTGTGCCTTTCAGCTGTTTCCTCCCGCCTGCTAACTAACCACCTTCTCCCGGGGGCATGGAGCCCTCAGACCTGGCTTTAACATCACCTCTGTGCCTGGCTTCACAAAAGGCAGCCTCGCTCTTCTATGTTCTTGACAGGCTGGACGGGCAGCACCAGGTGTGAAATGCGGCTCCACAGCCCACTCAGTTTGTCTGAGTCCATGTGGCTGAAGGAGCTGGGAGCCTTAGAGTTGGTGAATTTAGCCCAGAGTAAATCCCTCACTTTTTCTTCTGTCTCCCTGGGGCCTACGTTTGCTTCTAGCGATTTTTCCTCCAGCAGGACAGTCAGGAAGAAGGCCACATCTTTAAAGGCAGCATTCTCGTGATCACAATACTTGTAGAAGATCAGGGTGGAACCTGCAGGAAGGGATTCGAAGTGGTGGACTACAGCAGCCTTACTGCCATTCTCGAATCCACTGCTGAGCTCCAAGTCAACCCACAGCTTGACCGTGTCACTGTCCTGCAGGGATCTTTTGGCTCCGTCTATGGAGACGGCCGACACTTTCTGGGAAGAGGTGTAGGCATTGGCTACATGGTGGCTCAAGCACTTGAGGGTCTCCTTTCCCTCTCGGGCAGCTGTAAAGATGATGGTGGCAGGCTCGGTGGGGTTTGAGACATTAAGGTGCTTCTGGAGAAACTTACGACCTCGCTGCCACAGAAAGGAACTCTGACCTGGAAATTTATCCTTCAGTTGGCTAAACTGAGCCAGGAAAGCCTCCAAAGCTGGGTTCTGTGGCACTTGCTGGGCTGGGGAGGAATAGTAGCTATTGACGGAAGTTAGCACAAGAGCTACAATCAGGCAGCCAAGGAGCACAGGACCTGCCAAAAGAGAAGATAACAGAAGATGAGAAGGGCAAGAGTCAAACACAAAGCTTGTGAGAAACATAGGAAACACAGGTTTCTATTAAGTCTTCTGCTTGACTCTCCTATATGTTCACACTTGGTGTCTAACAGAAACTGAGGCAGGAGGATCACCATGAATTTGAGACCAGTGTAGTTCACACAGAGAGAAATAAAACAAAAAGTCTGACAGAAATACCTTCTTTAATCTCTTGAAGCTATTTGAAGATATACTATCTATGTCAACGTTGTTCATATTCTTTGTTACAGTCAGTGATGCTTTTGAAAGGTAGTCATGACAACTCTCTTCCATTTTCCAAAAGTACACACTGGCTAAAGCAGACCACCCTGCAATCAAAACTTAAAAATGATCCAGACTGGGTGGCACAGCTTGTATATCTCAGCACGTGGGAGGACTGTGGTTCCTGTGCTATACATCCTCAAAGGGGAGCGCAAACAATTCAGGGTGCAATCTGAGATGTTAGCAGCCTCTGACTGAAGAGGCAGCTTCTGGAGGCTGAGGCAGAATACTGCCATGTGTCTGAGGCTAGCCCAGGCTGCACATTTGTCCCAGGCAGGACTACATGGCAAAGCCCTTCCTCAATAAAACAAAAGAAAAGAAAAGGAAGTTTTAGTTTCTTGTATTCTATACAGTGTTTTCTGTCTCTAGCAGGTAGCTCAGTGGTAGGGCATTCGCCAAGCATACACAAGACCCTAATTCAGTCCTCCACTGGGGATCAGGGGTAGGGGTGCGGGAGGAGCAGCAGATGCTCTGACTGTGAGGATTTCTATTTGTTAAAGGAGGAAAAAAACTTTACGTTATTGCTCTGTTTTATTGAATTTATCAATAACTAAAGTTAACATTGCTAAGTACAATGTTTTCTAGGCTTTTTCCCTGAGGACCTGTGAATGTAAACCAACTGTAGCAAAATCAGGTTTGTTCTCACCATAGCTCCAGAGATTCTTTGTATCAACCTTTCTCAGTGACTCCTGTGCAGTTGCTTCCTTTCCCTTCACTAACTTCGTCTCTTCCTCAGGACTTCCAGCCCCTAGGGTTACAAGGAACATTGTTTGTAGACAGCATACCCTAAGAGTGGGTAGTATCTTTTACCTCTTACCCAGTTACATGACAGAATTCTTACACTTTGCAAATTTTCCTTTTATGCAAGCCCAAATTGCCATTTAGTTCATTTTACTGCATTAGGTTCTCATCCCCCCACACACACACACTACATTCAAAACACTATTTTATTTTTCTACTCATGGTGAAGCTCTACATGGTAAAATTGTAACTGTAGATAATGGTCTATTCAATAGCATTCATCATTCATTCATTCATTTTCTCACTCAAAAACTACTCATAAAGTTGTACCTATGTATTGGATGTCAGAGAAATACAATGAAAGAAGTAAGGGAGGATATTCTGATGGAAATGCATGAGACATGTTAGGTATCAGGGATTGTAGTGGGCCAGTCTAGTCCTTGATGAACGCCACACATTGGTACTAGAACATGGGCATTTCAATGAGCTCTCCAGAGGACTCCTGAAAGTACTAGACACGGTGTTGCATGTCTGCAATCCTGGATCACAGAAGTGAGTGAGGCCAGTGTGGGCTACAGAGCGAGATACTATCTCAAACAAAGAGTAACAAAAACCAACCAAACGTCTACATGTGTGTTTTTGTGTTGATTTATACACATTCACCTGATGATTCAAACAATATTTTCTTTTTCAAAGGACAAGAAAACTGAAAGTTTAAAATTAAATATCCTCGTAAGAAATAAAGTAAGAATTTTTAAAAATTGTGTTCCTTTTTGTCATACTGCATGAATATAAACAGTAAATAAAAACAATATTTAAAGATGTAGTTTATGGGGCTGGAGAGATGGCTCAGTTGTTAAGAGCACTTGCTGCTCTTCCTTCCAGAGGACCAGGTTCAATTCCTACATGGTGACTCACAACTGTCTGTAATTGCAGTTTCAGGGGAATGGACATCCTCTTCTGACACCTTGAATACATGGCATGCACATGGTATACAAACATACTTGCAGGTCAAACAGCTATATCCATTAAAAAAAAAAAAAAGCAATTTTGCACCATCAAGATAGCTCAGTGGGTAATGATGACAAGGCTGGTGATCTGAGTTCAATTTCTAGGACCCACATGGTAAAAGAACTGAAATGATTCATGCAAGTTGTCCTAGAAACTAGAGAAGATATAAATGTATAGGTAGCAAGTAAATACAGTGACTAAGCTAGTCTGGGAGACTAGAAACCTCACTCCAGCACCCTACTGGTTTGAATGACTCCCATCACATTCCCAGGGAAACCCAAGGCAGGCTGATGGCAGTTCAGAGGGGGTCTCTCACCTGATGCAGGCGCAGGCAGTCGTCTCCTCAGTAAATCCTGGCTTCCTTGCGCTGCACTGGAATGACTGGGACTTGGGGCATCGGTGGAGTCTGCAACAAGTGGCTCCTGAGCAGCCTCACATCTGTCACCTGCTCCCTCTGAGGGATCTGCAGAACTGCTCCCCAGAGGCTCCTGAGCAACCTCACATCTGTCACCTGCTCCCTCTGGGGGATCTGTGGAACTGCTCCCCAGATGCACAACTGCTTCTCCTCCCTTGCTGCTTTGAGAGCAGTTAGGATCCAGATGCAGAGTCTCTCCACCCACATGTTCCAAGGGAAGGAGATGCCCCTGCTCTGTGTCCTGAGAAATGGGGCTGCTCTGGTGTTCAGCTTTATCCACGAGATGCTTCCCTAAAGCCGTTTCCTCAGAACTTTCTGGCTTGTCACCTGTGTCTGCATGCTCTTGATCTTTGGCCCCTACCTCATGATGGTCATCCTTGAGATCTGACGCAGGAGGTGGGGTCTGGACTTCTTCAGTGTGACTAGGGGTGACCGTGGTGCCCTGTGCTTGAGAGTTGACTGAGGAATCATTTTCTAAATCCTTTTGAGAGTCTAGTGAGATAAAAATGTTTTATTTTAAATGTTTCACCCATAGTTTTGTACTCTAACAAGGCCTGCAATTACATACATACATACATACAAACATACTTACATACAAACAACTCAGGTTTGATCCCTGAGGCCTACATGGTAGAAGCTAATCAACCTGCAAACCGTCCTCTGACCTTCACATGCACTCACACACAGACATAAATGAGATATAAAAAAACAAAACAAAACTGATGTCCTTTTTCTCTTCTGAAAAAGCTATTTCACACTTGCCACACACACACACACACACACACACGCGCGCAGCAGAAGCAGGATAAAGACTTCATTTTATGCACGTTCCCCTCTAAATCACAGGTTGTTTTCATTAAATAAACAGAATTCTAAAGATGAATCTACCATCTTCTTAAAAGATGTATAGCATTTTGCCAAAATGACCATCCTCTATTACTGGAATCTAAAACATTTAACTTTCTTATAATCAGATTTGATATTATGTAAACATCAGTAAATATGAAAAAAGTAAAAATAATAAATTAACCCACTGAATTATAAGCTTTTACTTCAGAACTGGATGTTTTGGTTATCGGAGGTTCTTTAACACAGCTCATTTCCTACAGCACACACTCAGTGCTGTGAGGACTAGTCTCACCTCCTACGGGGTCACTGCTGCCACTGTCCATCATGTTCATGTCCTGGCTCTCCAGAATCTGGGACATCTTTTTAGTATCTGGGTTTTGTTGTAGAGATATCTTGTTTTCTTCTTGTCCCAAGTTCCAATAGACTCATGCTTCCCATGGAAGGGAGAAGCAAGGAATATATATAGTGACTAAAATAAAACAAAAAACAAACAAATGACTTCATTCAGGGGCAAAACATTAATTTCAGCTCTGAATAAAATCTCTTTCTTAAACCCTTAAGAAAGGCTGCTTTCTGGCTTTCAGAAGCATCATACCCCAAGCCCAGCCTGGGCTACATAGCAAGTTCTAGACTGGACGTGACCTTGCAGCAGTCCTCAGCTGAGAGCTGAGATCACAGGCGTGTGCTACCATGCCCAGCCTCCTAGTAATAAATACAATGGCATAATTACAAACTTCAGAGAAGACAATCATCTAGTATATTAATTATAACTGAAAAACCAAAAAGAGTATTTGTTAAGGCTATAGGTGTAGCTCAGTGGTAGACTTCTTTAGCATGTGCACGACCCTGGTTTGTTTAATCATCAGTACATTACAAAATTATAACAAAAATATGTCAAATGACTCCATTTACAGGAAATTTCAGACTAGGCAAATGATTAAAATCGACAGTGAAAGAAAAACAAGTTAGTGGTTGCTAAAGGGTATGGACTAGCAAACAGCCTTTGGAAAACAGGGGTAATGGACATGCTCCATTCGTAGTCAAATTTAAAGCCTGAGTGTTTACTGAATGTCTTTTATTCTTAACACTATGACAAATAGGATGCCCTAAAATGTGTCATCTAGCCACAGTGCAGTAAAAAGCAGTGGCAAAGGAACTCCAAACACTCAACATACACTTCCCTCATGTACACGTCAGCCCGGCAGCTACTCTCTAACCCTGTGTAAGCCCTCACCTCTGTACAGGGTTCAAACAGCATTCCCTCAAAAAAAACAAGTGGGACAAACATGTTTTTACCTTAACTCACAAAGTCACATGGTCTGGTATCTGAGCCATCTGGAGGCTGCTGTTTTATCAGGCAAATGTTTTGAGCAGTGACTAGTCCATATTAGGAAGCGATGTCATTTGGAACCTCACAAAGAAAGTGCAGCAGAAGCTGTGTATTGTGGTGAGCCTGCAATCCCAGCACTTGGGAGGCGGGGCAGGAAGATCATGAGTTTAATGTCATCTAGGCTACATGGCAAGTTCCAGATCAGTCTAAGCTACATAAAAAAAGAAAAAAGTGAGGCCATGCCTCATAGTGATTTAAAAAAAAAAAAAAAAAAAAAAAAATACAACAAAAAAACAAGTACTGTTGGAGACTTTCTGTAACCAGAAAAACTGATCCTTAGCTGTTTAAAAAAGGTATTTGATGGTTAACTTCCCCACAAGGCATAGAAATGTGTCTCAAATGACACAAACACATTTTCTTTCAGTCAATCTCTTCCAAATTCAACTGTGAAATGTTGGTTTTCAGTGTCCCATAGTAACTCATTTTCTACTTAAATAAAACAGCTTAATTCTCCCTGGCTCATATCCTCTTTAACCCTAACCCTGTAACCCTGAAACCTGTAGCAAACCTTGACCATTCTGCTCTATCTTTTTCAAGGGCTTGGAACTGGTTGTTAAAGTTCTAAGATTTAGTCTTCATCATGGAGACTACACTAAATGGTAGCTTACATTTTTCTGACAAATGTGCTAAATGTCTTTTAGATCAGGTGAAAATGTTTGTTACGTCTTGCAGTTTTCTCCCTGTTTAAGATGATTAGTAACTTTTTAAAAATGATTAACGAGCCAGGTGTGGTGGCTCATGCCTTTAATCCCAACACTTAGTAGGCAGAGGCAGGTGGATCTGAGTTTGAGACCAGCCTGGATTATGGAGTGAGTTTTGGGACAGTCAGGGCTACATAGCAAAACTGTCTTGAAAAAAACAAAACAAACAAACAAAAACAAAACAAAATAATAAGATGCTGTAAGGGGCAAGAACATCTGATTTACAAACATCAAGACCTGAGTTTGACTCTTTAAGGTTGAGTGGCAGAGATAGGTGAACCTTGGAAGAATGCTGGTTAGCCAGTTTAGCCAAAATAGTAGGAATAGAGTTGAAGACCGATAGAGGAAAACTGTTATGTCCTCTGCTGGCTTCTATATATGCATGTTTGGGTACAAACACATACAAACTCACATGCAATGGCCACACACCCACACATACCACAAGAAGAAAAACAAAAACAAAAAACAAAAAGAGTAACAAAATATATTTGCCTTTGTACAGAAAGTACAAAGGACCTATAATGACAACCAGGAGTGCACATGAAACTTCAACCACAGCCTCCTACACGTTTTATATCAATCTGGAAAGACAGGACAAGGAAAAGCTGCGCACGCATGGAGAAAACTCAGGGCTGGCAGGGCAGCAGGACCTTGCTTATCCTTCTTGTCCTGAAAGCCTCAAGTGTGGTCAAAGGGACACATGGGAAACAAGGAAACACAGCAATCTGGGTAAGACAAAAACGAAAGGCTAGGTATCGGGAAGCAAAGGGGAGGAGCAAGTGGGATAAAGTTCAGTACAAACAGAGCAAAGGACCATCAGTGTCTCCAGGGCAGAAGTCTAGACACAAAGGACGTCATGACAGTAGGGTCTGATATGTTTAAGCATACCTTTTTAAGTAAACTATGCCATTTTAGGCTCTCAGAACAAAAAGAACAGGTATCTTAGACATAAGCAATTTTCCATCCTTCTCTGGCACCCAAGACCACAGCATACCTAATATGATTAACACTTATTAAATGCTGTTCTCCATCATTTATAGAGTGCCTTCAAGGTGCCAGGCAGCCAAACGTATTAGCTCAATCTTTGCAACACTGCACAAAGTAGAAACTAATATTCTTACTACTTTCCAAACCAAGATATGGGTTAAGAACCTTACTCAAGAATACATAACTCAAGGAAAAGTCAGGATCCAAACTGACCCCCAGTGTTTTAACTGAGACCCTAAAAAAAGGCTTAAACACTGCACACATCTTTGATTCTGCCACAGTTGAATGAGGTTTGATCTAGTATACACAGCTTGAGTTAATCTGCAGATTCTTCAATACTCCATTCCCAAGGTGACTGGCTGGCCTGGAGCTCACTATGTAGGTCAGGCTGGCCTTGAAGGCACAGAGATCTGCCTGCCTCCCTGGTGCCAGGATTAAAGGCCTTCACCACCATGCCCAACTCAGATCCATAACATTTTTTCAAAATGTTTATTTCAATGCTGTAGAAAGTCTCTAGTAACACCAATTTATATCACATTGATATCAACTAGTTAAGATACAAAACACATTACATCCATCTTAGGTCATTGGTCCCTCATGGCCTCACAACCTTCATACCTGAGACCACGTGACTCCCAACTTCCGCTCACATCCCAATTATGTCCTCCCATCAGATTTAAGTTTTTGATCAAGTTCTAACTGGCTCTACTTGTTACTACGATTTTGTCCTTTTCCCTAATTCTAGTTTCTGCTTCATTGTCCCTTAAACATTTCTGTTTGGTAAAGTGCGTAACAGTCTAAGGCAGGTACTATCACAGCCTCCCACAGGAAGAAACTAGTTAGTGTCCAAGGCCCTTTAATAGAATTAGAATATAAACCCAGAAGCTGTAAAGCTATTATTTTTCTCTCATAAAAAGCAGTTTTTACTTGGCTTGGTGGTACACACCTGTAATCCCAGCAGAGGCGGGCAGATCTCTATGAGTTTGAGACCAGACTGGTCTTGAATAAGACTTTGTCTCAAAACAAAATAAAAAAGGCAGTTTTCAAGCTGTCATCAAAAGTTCAAGGAGACTCAAGGGTGAACTGGGGGACCAGACTCAAAAGAGGTGGATGACCTCACTTTTTCAGACTGTCACATTCTTTGGATGCCATAGCCTTGGACATGATTTGGCTGAGGCTTTCCCTGTAACTTGGGAGACTACAACCTGTCACCACATTCCATAAAAGCAGTCTCTCTGGTGACTATTTTTCTTCCAGTCTACCCCAATGTTTCTAGTCCCAAACCTTACAGAAAAAAAATGGGAAGTCATGATGATCATATTAAAAATATTATTATATATATTATCAACTCTTCCACACTATGAAAAGACTGTAGCATACACAAAACTATCTCAGGTCATTTTGATTTTAATCATTAGAATTTAACCAAATCATATATTGGTAAAATCCACTATTCATATATTTTTCGCCAAGTAGTGGTAGTGTAAGCCTTTTATCCTAGAACTTGGTAGGCAGAGGCAGGTGTGTCTGAGTTTGAGGCCAGCAGGGACTATAGAGCAAGTTCCAGGACAGGCCCCAAAGCTACAGAGAAACTGTCTTGAAGCACAAAAACCTAAGCTAAAAAAGGCTTCTCTGCTCAATTTTAGTTCTGACTTCTGGAAGCTTCTTTTATCTGGGCACTTTTTGTTCCATGTGAAGGCAGTGACTATAGTCCTTTCTCTGGACCTTATGGATACTGATGTTGTTTTACAATGTCATCCCCAGAGCTGCTGGTGAAGTGCAGAACAGTTCTGATTAACTGCTCAACTTGTACTTGCAGTGTTGAAAGCTCACCAACTTTCCCTTTTAAGCCAAGTACATACTATGGAGGTATCAGTGCAGTTTGCAATGTGTGATTGGTCCACAGACCTCACAATAGTTTACAGACTAAGAAATTTTTAGTTTAAAAGCTCTCTCAGTTACTGCTCGTTTAAGAAAATTCAATGGTATAAATTCTCTGTATGTTGATAGTACTAATTAAAAAAAAGTTGGTTCAAACAAAATATTTGTATCTTTCCAATGTTTAAATCTGACATGTAGAATATGTCCTTGGGGTACAGGCACTCTTAACTAAAGAAATGAAGAGGCAATAATAGCCTCTAAAACTGCTGTCATGAGAAGAGCTTTAGAGTAAATAGTGAGGGGGTGAGTGCCTCATTGCACTACTAAGTCTTCAAGTTAGCAGTCCACAGTTTCATTCAGCGGTGTATCAGGAGAGAGCCTCCACCATGATGATGGACATAGGCAGACACAGCAGTGGCTCACTAAAATAGTCTTTATAGAAACAAAAAAAAACCAGGTTTTATAACACATGGAAAGCAAGATTTGTTGCATATCAATAGCTATTCATTCTTCCACTTCCACACTTTAAAAGATCAGCTTTATCAGCAGAGGCAGTGTGCCATATCTGGGCAGGGCCAATCTTCTCCTTTGCCAAGTTTGCCTCAAGACTACTGTGTGAACCAGTACCTGCTAATGAGATATATTAAAAAAAAAAATCTGCCGGAGACAGTTCAGAAAGATTTTATTTCCAAATTAAGACTTGTAAAAAGGAAAGCCATGTGCCCCCTGCCGTCTGGCACAATAAACCATACTGAAGTCATTTAACAACTATGAGAACAAAAGGCAACCATAAGGATGGAAGATGGGGGAACCTGGGTCTCTGACAACATTCCCTCAGCTACATAAGCTCTGGATCACCTAGAATCTCAAGCGAGATTTTAAGAATTATTCAGTAGCTTTTCAGATATTCCTGGGAGCTTTTTCTAAGTTGCTTAACTCCAAATCCGATTCCATGATTTCCATGAACTGGAGAACCCCAGAATGTGGCCAACGCTCAGTAACACATTCTTATGTCTATTAGACCAGCCTTAAAAATTTTATGGAGCCAAGTATTATCATTTGTTATAAATTTTACAGTGTGCAGGTACTTTTCCACTTCCATGGGAGGACATTAAATTCAGTCACCACAAGACAGAAAGTCTTTGGTTGCGTAGAAGACAATTAAGTAAGTGTAAACTGGCAGCATTCTCAACCCTTTTGTGTTAACCTATGTAGGTATTGACAATTAGAATGTGAAAATGTGAAAAGACCAGTTATCAACACTGTAGCTGAGGATAAAGTGTCAAAAATGGTTATATATATATATATATATATATATGTGAAAAAAATTTTGTATATATATATACACCTCACTATTGATCTGTATATAAGGAAAAATTTAGAACGATCACTATTGATCTGTATATAAGGAAAAATTTAGAACAATGTAGTGTATTAAAATTTACTATAATAATCTAGAATCCAGCTACAAGAATGTGTCCTCATAAAAGTTACTGTTAGAAAAGTTAATGGGGAATACAGCATGGGGCATCCCTCCAGATTGCATTATCAATACTTAGGAGGGGCAATCTAGTTCTAAAGCATTTGTAGGTTAGTCTGGTTTTAGGTAAATAGTCTGCAATACTGACTAAGTTTATGCTTAAAAAAAAAAAATAATAATAAAATGCATAGATCACAGAAGCAGGCCCAACAAGTTAAGCAGTTGGCAAAGTAATGACAGTGAGTCAGATTTAGAAAGGAGGGCCTTGGGTCAAACTCAGTGGAAGAGCACTTGCCTAGCATGCACAAGGGCACCCAGATTCAATCCCTAGCACCTTAAAAAAAAAGAGGAGAAAAAAAAAAAAAAAAGAGAGAGAGAGGAAGAAAACAGAAACAAGTTACTATTCATCTCCCCCAGGCTATGAACACAGCCCTACAGAGTCTTCATGATTCTGTTACAGAAGTCATTTGCTTTGACCAAGCTTTTTGTTTAAGGTTTTATCTGTTCTGGTCAAGATTAATTGTAATGCAGGATTAAAACCAGCTACTCTGGAGTCATGTATCCTTTTTCTAACCAGTGGAGGACCCAGAAGAAATGGATGACAAGCTTTCTCAAAGGTCCACCTGGTGAGATTTTGAGGTGCCCACTCAAGTGGGAAAGACCAAGGCAGAACAAGGCTTCTATTAGCAGGATTGTCAGGATAACATTCAGGGCAATAGTCAGCTCTGTTAATTCGGTCTAAGAACACTTGGTAACATTCATTTTCAACAAGTTCAGTTTGGTATAACCAATGCCCTAGCTCTAAACTAGGGAACCACTGCTGCCCACAATCAGGGCAGTGTGAATTATCGGAGAACATCTGGGCTGAGAAAGACAACACAAGCAATGTAACAGCAAAAGGCAACAATGACAGAGAGAGGGAGAGAGAAAGGCAGTAAGCAACAAGCAATCCTATTACAGGCTTCCTTTAGCAACTTCTCAGTTCAACCACACTTGAGTGGTAACTCTGGCTTGCACCTCAATGCAGTTCTTCAAGATCTTGTAGTCTACTTTTCACTTAATTGCAACTCAGTCTCTGTACTCAGGGACCAGTCCAGTCTAGAATACTATCAGTCACTTACTAGCAGCACAGATCATAGAATAGCGCCTTCAAATCCCAGCGTCTCAAGGAAAGCCAGACCTCTAGTCTGAACTGTTTCAGCAGTATCAGCTGGTGATGGTATCACACAGAGTACTCTGCTCTGCTGATAAGATTATAATGCTTAGTGAAACAGGCGCTGATAGATCCAGTGAGTCTTCTGTTGGTTGATGCTGGCACTCTTGCCTGATGGCTCTTTACGGTGCTGTAGTAGGATCAGGAAAACCTGGTGGAGTCCCCTTCAGTGGATCCAATGAAGTCAGTCTTGAAAGGACCTTTATCTGATCCAGTCACAGAGGAGTAGCTGATGTTGATCGTGCAGGATGGTCTGGGAATGCGTCACACACCTGCAAATGATAAAACTTCAGACGACTCATATGGGCTTTGCAGTTGCTCACAATACTAGAAACATGCATCTGAGAATTATTTGCATCAGTCAAGGGAGATGACAACAGTCTCGTGGGTTACCCCACAATTTAATTTCTGTCAAACCAACCCAACCATTTGGGAGCTACTTTTCTGGGCACAGGGATGGGTTTTGAATCACTTAGGATTTATACACGGATTGGATTGGTGTGGTTCCCCCCCCCCCTCTTTTGGCTACATTTGTTGTTTTTTCTTCTTCTACTTCTTTTGTATTTTAAAACCAAAGATCCCTATACCAAGTCTGCGAAACAGATACCATCTGGCATTCCCTTAACATGTGGGTACCAATAACTAAAACAACCTTTTCAAAATAGGCTTCAATCTAATCATGAAAAATCTTAAACTATTGACTTTTTTTTTTTTTTTTGAGACAGGATTTCTTTGTGTAACAGCCCTGGATGTCCTGGAATTCACTCTGTAGGCCAGGCTGGCCTTGAACTTACAGATATCCGCCTGCCTCTGTCTCCCTAGTGTTGGGATTAAAGAAAGACGTGCACCACACCACCCAACTAGACAATATTCTTAAGCAGCTAACCATAAAGTTAAAAACTCTTTTTGAAAGCTGAAAAACGATAAAGTGGAGAGCGTCTCACTGTCTTGTTTTTCTGTACAGGTTGACACATACTGTCTGTCAGTTTGAGATTACATGTAGAATACTGCCATGAGCAACAACCAAGCTACTCTCATGACCCTGAATGTAACACACACAAGGTAGGGAAGCAGGACACATAGCTCAAGACAGCTGCGTAGAAAGCAGCAGTTTATCAGATTACAGTGTGTGCCCTGCCATCCTCCAGTAGTTTTCATAAATCCCGGGGCTCAATCATGTGAGAACAGGGACACTGAAAAACAATATAACAGAAGTCTCAAAGGGAGGAGAACTACAGGGCTGGCCTGTAGGGCCCTGCATGGACCTGGAGGCACCTTGAGCAAGCCTGAAGCTGTTGGCTGGAACATCTTGACCCCCCCCTCCCCCGCCCAAGAGTTGTTATTGGTACTTTTCCTGTTTTCTTGCCCCAGAGTTGTTGTTGGTACTCTTGCTGTTTTGCTAACACACATCTGCTGGGGAGGAGCTAAGCCTGAAAACTTGTTCTCTTGACCCTGTTGTTTTCCACTGTGCTGTGAGTCAGTATATAAGCCCACTCCGACCCTCAATAAGAGGCTCGATTCTGGCCCTACTCAGAGAAGCTCTTGAATGATTTTACGATGACAAAGGGAAAGGCAAGCGAGCCCCTGACAGTATAAAAGCAGGGCCACATTCTGGTTTTTGTTTTTTTTTTTGCTTTTTTTATTTTTCAAGACAGGATTTCTCTGTATTGCTTTGGAGCCTGTCCTGGAACTAACTCTGTAGATCAGACTGGCCAAGAACTCAAGCGATCCACCTGCCTCTGCCTCCCCAAGTGCTGGAATTAAAGGCCTGTGCCACCACTGCCTGGCTAGGGCCACATTTTGATAGGAGACAGAGGCAGCACATAGGTAGTCATGTGCTTTTTGAGGTTAGGTTACTGGGTACCAGGCTACCAATTCTGGTCCTCAGTTTCTGGAAATATTCCTAAGGAAATATGTGAAAGTCAAACCAGGAATAGATTTCATTGACCTGCTGATAACAGCCCTCTGACAAAACTTTGCTGCTAGATTAGTCTTGGGTGTCTAGTTATGATACAGATAATAAACAAGCCTTCCATAATCTTGAAGCTCATTTAAACATAGAGTAATGAAAGTGAAGTTATGTATGTCTGGCATTTAAAAGATAGAGAACTTTGGATTTTTAGAGCAAAACACAGTTAAGATTATAATAAAATAACTACTTCTTATCCATGGAACTGGCCAAAAACAGGGAGACTAATGAGCCTGTGGGGGCTCCAAATAATCTAAGCAAAACCACTTCTCCATGCTCACAATCAAGAAGCAGGCCCGAAGTCTCTAGTGCTCAGAATAGCTCTAGCCTTCCCTCAACATACACTCCATCCCTCCAACTTCACTGTCAAACAAGTCATACCTCAAGTACTCATGAGCAAGACCATGCATGGCTGTTGCTTGTTCAGACAAGCCACCCTGGTCCTTCAAACTATTATAGCAAGAATCCAAAAGGGGTTCCAGTCTCCAACCACCACGTACCACCAGCCTCTTCACTCATTCTTTATACTTAACAAATTATAGAGTAGGAAGGAACAGGGAGCCAAGAAATGCTCATGGAAAGACCCAACCCTAATATTAACAACTTCACTACCACTGTTTGCTTAAAAGCCTCAGGACCAACTCCATACCATTCATGCTATTCCCAAGAATCTCGGGCCTTCCTCGTGCTTCAGGCTTTAATCGTTATATAGCTGAAAGGGTATGAGAAAATACCCAATACCTGGTTTTATGTGCAACTTTGCTTTTGATGTTTTGTCACTAAAGCATAAACAGCCTGAGAGCTGGGATTTGTGTGCTTTCACTCTGTATTACAAGGATCTCATTCCCTATCACATGTATCTCTTTAAAACACTTTTATTTTTCCATTTGTTTCATGTATGTGTATGAGTATGGACATGCCATAGCATACACATGGAGGTCCAGGGACTAGGGTGTGAATCCTAAGTAGGTTGTCTGAGGATTGGTAAGTGAAAATAAAGGATAGCTTGAATCCTGACATTAATGATAAAGAGTGTAAATTAATACAACCACTTTGGAAATTAATTTGATAGTATCCAATAAGTTAACAAACAAAAATCCACCAAAATACAAAACAATAACAAAATGGGGCCAAACCCAAAGCTTAAAAGCATTCATATAACCCAAACACTGTACAAAACACAAATCAGCTTTATTTTTGTTTGAGAACATGAGCACTTACGAGGCAGAAGCTCTAGGACTGCAAGTTCCAGACAGCCAGGAATAAGTATAGATGTCCTCCCTGGCAAACAAAAAATTGAATTCTATTTAAATCTACTGAAACCTATACATCAATTAACAGTAATGGCTTTACATGGATTAGATTAACTATTCTGATCCCTTTTCATTCTCCTTAACAAATGTTAATATGAATCCCAAATCTACCTGTTTATATTTTATGTATATGGGTGTTTCCTTTCTTCTATGTATATATGTGTATGATATGTACTCTTGGTGCCCACAACGGAGGCCAGAAAAGGGTATCACATCCCATGGAACTGTGTATTGACATTTGTGAGCTGCCACAAGTGTTGGGACTCAAAACTGGGTCCTCTAGAACAACAGCCAATGTTCTTAACCACTAAGTTATCTCTCCAGCACCACACAACCTGATCTGTTTGTTTTGTTTTTAGACATGATCTCATATAGTCCAAGCTGGCCTCAAACTCAGTAACTGACCTGACCCTCCTATCTTGGCATTCAGGAGTGGTGGGATTACAGGCATATCCATCACTTCTGGTTTATGTAGCACTACAGATAGAATCCGTAGCCTGTTCATGCTAGGTAACCATGAACTCTACCAACTGAGCTATTTTTCTAATACCAAACCTGCCTTACTTGTCTGCTTGCTTGCTTGTTTGAGACAGGGTCTCACTGTGTAGCCTGATTGACCTAGAGTTCCCCATGTAGACCAGGATGGCCTCAAATTAACATCCCAGTCCAAATCTGCCATTGACACTATTGATCTATATATTATGTATAAAATTTAAAAATCTTGGGGGGGGCTAGAGAGACGGCTCAGTGCTTATGAGCACTTGCTGGTTTTGTAGGGCTGGGTTCCACTCCCAGCACCCACAAGGTGCCCTCTTCTGACCTCCATAGGCACCAAGCATGAATGCAGTGCAGGCAAAACACTCATACATAAACATAGTTAAAAAACAAGAAGTAAATGGGATTATCATTTTAAGTATTTTTCCCCTGGGAGATTCTCAAGTTAATAACTGTCTACACCTTTTATAGAATAGTTTCACCAGGTTTTTGGAGATAGGCTGTGTAGTCCTGGCTGTCTTGGAACTAGCTATATTGACCAAGCTGGCCTTGAACTCAGATCGGCCTTCCTCTGCCTCCGATCCAAGGCATGTGCCACTACCACCTACGTAAGTTTCACTAAATTTATACATATCCCACACCTAGTTCTGAATCTAGATGGGATAGTGAGGATTTATTATATTTACTACTGAGCACACACATTTCTCTTCACAACAGAGGACAAGTGAAAAGTATGCTGTGCTAGAAAACAGCTGCAAATGTTTTCTCTTACTCCAAGAACTGACAAGTCTAACAGGTGTGGGCATGCATGTGTCCAAGCCAGCGTGCATGTGCACATACACATTGCATGAATACTTATGGGGGGGGAGTGGAGGGGAGAATAAAGAACTATTTTAGACTTTTACTGGCACAGCTCCATCTACTCTGCCCTGCCTGATTTAACTCCATGGCTCATATTCTGTCTGCAGGTTAGGCTTAAAACACCAACAGCCAAACCTTTAAAGCTAAAGTGCAGCTTGACCTGATACCGAACTTTTATTTCTTTTTTTGTACTGGGTATTTGCACCTAAGTCTGTTATTATCTGCTTATTATTACAATATCCTGGGTATATTACCTTCACTAACTGGCAACAAGTGTTTAAACAAGTATGAAAGGGGGAGTTTAGACTAGGGGAAAATACTCCTTAGAGAAGTTTTTAACATAGAAACTAGAAGCCTGGAGTAGTTCAAATACTATTCATAGTGTGTTTTTCTAACATACTTTGTTTTTTGTGAGTGTAAAAATAAATCTTTTCCTACTTCCCACTTCCTTCCCAGTTATTCTGATGACTATTACACTCTAGTTTAGGATAATCAAATATTGGGAAACAGCAGTGCACAAGGGATCCACGACTTTGCTAAGAAATCTAATCCTGGGAGGCATAAATGACTTTTTGTTTTAATGACAGGCTTCCCCTCCCTTGTAGCCCAACTTGGCCTCAATTGTTTCTCTCATCTCAGCCTCCTGAGTGCCTAAAATACACAATGAGATTTGATTATGACCCCCAATTTTACCTCAACTTCTGAAAGTACTTTTTCTGGAGTCTCGTTATGTAGCCCAAGCTTGAACTCACAGTCCTCCAGTCTCAGCCCTCTTACTACCATGATTATAGATGCTCTCTCCACACCTTATTATTTACTCACTTGTTTCATAGTTGCTTTTTGGTTTGGTTTTTCCAGACAAGGTTTCTGTGCAGCCCTAGCTGTCCTGGAACTCTCTCTGTATGTAGACCAGGCTGGCCTGGAAACTCTGTGATCAGCCTGCCTTGGCCTCCCCAATGCTGGGATTAAAGGTGTGTGCCACCAAACCTAGCTTTTTTTACTCTTATCTACTCTTTTAAAAACTTTATCCTTATGTATCTTTACATAACTTAGTTGAACCTCAACCTCAGATCTGCTTGGACTGCCTCTGCCTCCCAATGCTGGGGCTAAAGGTGTGCACTACAGAGCCTGCTATCCCATGCCTCCTACTCATAAGGGCTGGGGTTATGGACAGGACAGCGTTGGCTCTCCTTTAACTAGCTATGTAGACCAAGCTGCCTTGAACACATACTACCGTACCTGTTACTACCAACATACAGAAAAGTTTCAGAAACGATGCAGTCTCCTCACATGCTTCATTCAGTATCTTATGAGGTGAAATTATTAAAACCAACAAATTTAGCACGTCTATTAATGAAGTCACATTACAATTTCACCAGTTTTCCCATTCATGTTATTTTTCTGTTCTATGTTTCAAAGCTAAGAGGCTATCCTTGAAGAGGGAATCACTCACACCTCATATTCTATCTTCCCTAAACTGCTAAGCAGCTCCTACATGTAATACCCACAAGGCATGATGAAAAATAGTGTTAACTTCCTAAATCAAGGCCTCACATCCTATCTAGCACCTTCTCTAAGCTGCTAACTCTATAAATGTTAGGGTTTGCGGTGCTCTATAGCTTGCTTCCCCCAACATCCAGCAATCAGTTTTATGTTAAAGGGCCTGATTATCTGAATGAAGTCTATATCAGCAAATCTCTCCAAGAACTTGGCAAAAAATCTTCACAGTTAAAACAAATCCCACATTTCCTTTTTTATTTCTCCTGTCTCTACTATGTAAGTTTCTCAGTTTTACCTTGTCCTTTGTGACAAAGTCTGTCAGTTTAAGTTTGTGTATTATTTTATTGTTAAAAGACAGAAAGTTTATAGGATAACCAAAGTGGAAGAAGCAATGTGTCCTTAGCCATTATATTACTTACGTTCACGCTATGCCTGTGTCTTACAGAATATAAACCTTGACCACTAGGTTTGCACACTATCTCCACTGTCAGGTTACTGTTTTCTTTCGAAGTTAATAATTATCTTGGGAGAGATACTTTAAGACTATGCAGTTAGCCTGATTCTCCTTTAACTTTCACCCACCAACATTACAGGCAGATGTTACATGACATAATCACTACAGTACTGCCTATTTTTTAAGGGTGACGTCTTATTTCCTTTTTTTTTTTTTTTTTTTTTTTTTTTTTGAGACAAGGTTTCTCTGTAGTCTTGGAGCCTGTCCTGGAACTCACTCTGTAGACCAGGCTGGCTTCAAACTCTGAGGTCCACCTGCCTCTGCCCCTGAGTGCTGGGATTAAAGGCGAGCATTAGCTCCACCAGGCCATTTCTTTCTTTACTATATTCAATATATTGTTTGAGAATCATTAGCATTTCATGGAGTTCAACTACAAATTCATAGAAACCCAGGGAACTCATGTCAAAATTTAATAGGTTTGCCAGATGATCCTTTTAGACAAGAGTATCCCACTGTTAGGGGAGTTAACTGGAGTTCGGGTGAGGTTACAGGCCAGCACTGGCCACACCTAACTTTTTACTTGCATACTGGGATAGTAACTGGGGTCCTATAAAGCTTAACATTTAAGGAACACCTCTCTAAAGAAAAAAGTTAACTTCCTTTATTATAAAATCCTGTTTATCACTCATTTTCAAAAGATAATTGAAATATGAATTGTGTTTTCTCAGCCACCACTAATAAAACCACAGGTGACTGGCTTCTCTTCTAAGGCCCTAGTGACATTACTATTCTCAATATTTCCCTATAAAACAGTGGGCCTTAGTTATAAAGCATACACACTGCAACTTTTATGCAAACAAGTGGCAAGTCGATTGCTAGGCTAACTCCTGTCTACAGACATGGCCCACATCCACAAACACAAAACCTACCAGCAATTCCCCTCTGGGCCTGGGCCTGAAAGACTGCCCCTGTGCTGACTTGAGTCCCCTCCTTATGCTGCTGGTTCTTAACCACAGTGGGATACCACCACCCAGGTAGATGAGGCAGAGACAGCAGCATGTACACTACTAAGATACAGAAAGGTCTCAGAAGCTGCAGCCATTAAATAGAAACTGCACTAAATAAAATGCTGCTGCTATTCTCCAGTAAATTAGAGTAAAGCAAATCTAGGTGACTCTATTAGAGCTATCTACACCTTCAGAAGGCAAATCTAGTATTTTAAGTTTGGTTTTGTCAAGTACTGAAGCAAAGCAACCAAAAAGCAATACATGGGGGGGGGGGGGGCTAAGAGGAGAGGAAGTAGGGGGAACTGTGATCAGGATGTAAAATTTAAAAAGCAATACAATTTGATCTGTAGAAATAATGAAATTAGAGGTGAACTTTCATTTCTATTTGGATTACCAAAATCATGTAATATAATCTCTCTAACATTAGTATACTTAAAAGAAACCCAATTAGTAATATTAGTAACCTAAACAGCCCTACAGCTCCCCACTTTGCTAATAAGGAATTAGACTCAGAAGTAGAGTTGTCTGCCAAGTCCTAAGATCCTCAGGCCAGCAATGGGAGCCGGACAGACCAGGAAGAACCATCAGCTATGACTCCAAAGTCCGTTTGTATAACCACACTGTTCAGGACACCCTATTGACAGATGCTTGTCTTACTGCACAAAGTTCATGATAAAGGCACAATGGAAACACAGCCAAGCATGGTGCCACAACTCTTTAATCCCAGCACTTGGGAGGCAGAGAGTGTGGTGGATCTCTGATTCAAGGCTAAAATGGTTTAATAGTGGGGTGATCCAGATAAGCCAGGGTAGCCTCAGAAAAATAAATTAAAACCCCACAAAACAAACAAAAACTCCTACTCTATTTCCCAAGTAACCATCTTAATTCTGGTTTCTTGTTTATTACAGAAGCTCTCAGTATGGTATCTCTACATTAGGAGGGAAACTTGATCTTTAAAAAAAAAAAAAAAAAAGCTTGAGTCAAGATCACATGATAACTGAAGCAAAACTGGTTATCTAGTTGTGGACTCTGCACCCAGATCAATCAACATTACTTAAGAGCCACAAAAGTCTCTGTAATGGCCCTCAGGCTGTTTGGTTGAAACTATCACAACCCAAAAGGCTTCCCAGAACTGACTCTGCTGCAGCCTTTAAAAACAAAATCTCTCATGTACTTAAAATACACAGGAACTTGGGGTGTGGTGGCCACACCTTTAATCCCAGCACTCCAGAGGCAAAGGCCGGTGGATCTCTTGAGTTCAAGGCCATCAAGGGTTACAAACAGAAACCCTGTTGTTGAGGAAAAAAGACATGAAACACAAACCGGTCATATTCAAGTAGAAAAGTTAACTCATCTCTGGATCTACGAAAACAAGAATAAAATCTGACAAGGCAGAGAGCACGGCAGATTTTGTTCAAAGAAAGAAAAAAGAGCAAACTTTAAAAAAAAAATGGGTACTAAACACAGCTGAGCACATAAATAGGTAAGCAAAATACTTATAGGTCTTATTAAAACTTCAAAGTTAGCCGGGCAGTAGTGGTGTACCCCTTTAATCCCAGCACTAGGGAAGCAGAGGCAAGAGGATCTGTGAGTTCGAGGCCAGGCTACAAGCGAGAAACCCTGTCTCTAAAAACAAGACAAAAAACTTCCAAGATTGTCTCTTTCAGCACTATTAGTACTGAAAAATGCAAAAGTTCTACCTTTTAGAGATTAGAATGACTAGTAGGACCCTGGTATGCAGAGATAAAAAGAGAAACGGACACCTACAGTTAAATATTCTTCTTTACATTTCAAAACTTAAATGTAATTCTACTTCTTATCAGAAGTTCCAACTAAAAATCTACTCTGACCTTATTTATTTTATGCTTGAAAGATTCCAGGTATATTTTCAGCACCCTCCCGGAAATTATACACCCATCCCAACCTACCTCGATTTCTGTTTGTGCCGCAGGGAGGTGGGGGTGGGGAGGGATCCTTTCTCAAAGACCTTTTGAGAGGAGAAAATAGCAGTTCAGACACTAAAACATGTTAAAGTTGCGTATTCGTTTTGCTTACTTACAAATTCCAGCCAAGTTTTAAATCATGGGACAGTCAGGATCAGCGGCGACAAGGCTGTTCCTCCGGCTCCACAGCGCTGGTCTGCTACCCCCAGCCGCCACGGCAGAATGTCGCCTGTCCCGCCCACGTGACGTGAGCTCCGCAGGGAGGAGTCCGCGGCATGCTGGGATAGGTAGTCCCTTGGCCCCACCTCCCCCAGTTCCTTCCGCTAGGCTTCCCGGAATCTCAGTGCTGGCCTCTGCCGTCCAGCCACAGCCTACTTAGCCTCTCAAGGCTGAAGTGACTGTAAACATGTTGCAAGACTCTGACCACCTAGGCCTTTAAAATAACCTGAAATTCACGGCCTAAAAAAACCTACGAGGCCAGTACAGTAAGAGATAGGACCTACACATAATGGCGAACCCCACTCTGGCGAACACCACTCAGACTTTGAACCCAGTTTATCCTAACTATAGGCTGTCCTCAAACTGATTGCTTAGTCGAAATCTCAGTTTGCTCGTGTGTCAATGGGGACAAGTCTTCATACCCACATGAGGTTGTGACCGAAGTAACTTGTCTGCTAATGGGTAGACTAGGAATCAAAACTAGCTATTATTTTGGGGCACAGTGGTAGACGCCTTTAATCCCAGCGTTCAGAAGACAGAGGTAGGCAGATCTCTGAGTTTTTACTTTAAGACAGGGCTGGAGTTGCCCAGACTTACCTGGAACTAAGTCTAAGGCTCAGACTTAAACTCAGGATCCTCCTTCCTGTATAGGGGTTAACAGGACCTGTGCAACCAGGCCAGGCTCCAGATACACTTTCATTTTTATAGTTTTTAATTTTTTTCAGTGAGAATGAGTGGAGCCAGCTACCATGTCTTCATTTTACTTACAGTATTTATCAACTTTTCCTTTTGTTTATTTAGACTTTAGCAAGTAACTCTGGCTGGCCTGGAGCTAATTATGTAGGCCAAGCTGGCCTAGAATTCAGAGTCTGTATCTATCTTCCAGGTGCTGGGACTCCAGGTGTACTATTAAGTCCGTCTTTTGTTATTTGTTTCTCTGTGTAGCCCTGGCTGTCCTGGAAGGTGCTTTGAACTCACTTACATAGATCTGCCTGCCCCTGCCTTCCCAGTTCAGACACTAAAGGCATGTACCACCATGCTCAGCACTTTTTTTTTTTTTTTTTCCCACAAACAACAGCAAAAATCCCAGCACTCAGGAGGTAATTTCTATGAGTTCAAGTCAGGCGTGGTCTACAGAGATTCATCTGCCTCTGTCTCCCAAGTGCTTCAATTAAAGGTGTGGCCACCACTACCTGTCCTCTATGGCTAACTAGTAGCTTAGGTGTGTGGCTAACTAGTTGGCTTAGCCCTTAACTAGGTGTGTTGTTAACTGGTGGCTTAGCTCCACATTCTGATCTTCAGGCAAGCTTTATTAGGTCATAAACAAAATATCACCACAACTCAGCTTTATAGTGAGTTCTAGGCCAGACTAGGCTACATCATACCCTGTTCCAAAAAGCCCTCCTCAATAAAATACTTTCATTTAAAACAGTTGAAGAACACTGCTTGCTTTTCCAGAAGATGGAGATTTGATTTTCAGCAACCCTGTGGTGGCTATCAACTGTCTGCTAACTCTTAACTTCAGGAGGTCAAATGCCCTCCTCTGGCCTCCATAGGCACCAGGAACACACCTGGTACACAGGAATACATGCAGGCAAAATACCAAAGTGTGTGTGTGTGTGTGTGTGTGTGTGTATTTTTTTTTCCTTAAAAGTTGCTTAAATTAAAAAGTCAACATGCCAGGTGGGGGTGGTGCATGCCTTTAATCCCAGCACTCGGGAGGAGGCAAGTTATCTTTTTGAGTTTGCGCCTAGCTTGATCTACAGAGTGAGTTCCAGGACAGCCAGGACTGTTTCACAGAGAAACCCTTCTCAAAAAACAAAACAACAAAAAACAAAAGCCAACATGAAGATCACATGATTTCTAGGAAAAGCTCTATTAGCTAGCTATGAGTTAATGCCAGTTATTAATTCATTTTTTGTGTATCTGCCTTCTCTAACATATGACAAATTCTCTCAGTAAAATTCTTCATTATTTGACATTTTTCAAATACCTGAAGGAATGTTTAAAGTTCAAAGCTCAAACTGCTACACTGATGGCCCAGAAAATTTTTTTTAATACTGGAAATGAGTCTATTGTCTATAATGTTACATCTTATAGTATGAAAGAGTGGCCCAAAAGAGATTGGAAAACATCTACAGTAGAATATCTGGTTTGACAAGAAGTTGGCTTTAACTCACAGTATTCAAAGTTTGGTTTTTGAAAGGTTGCCAGAGTTAATATGATGCATTCCTATAACCTAGACAAGAGGGAAAAGTCTAAGCAAATATATGTTAAAGTTACTTGCCTCTAAACTTTAACATTCTTATCATTTTTTTGAAAAAGCCATTTATTCCCTTGTCACAGCTTTAAAAAAAAACATTCATAAGCCTTTTATAAGCAGTTTTTATTACAAAACATACATGCCAATTATCCAATAATCTCTGTAACCTCTCATTTTTCTCTGACTGACCAATCATGTATAGAACCTCTTCACTTTCTTTTTTAATGCATCCTCCAAACCAGAGTTTTACAAGCCAGCACCCAGGTTTCTTTAGTCATCTGTTGTAGTAAATGTTTTAAAGAGGCTCTTTACACACACAGCATAATATTAGAATATTAACACAATAAAATTTACATCATTCAATGCTGTAACTCTATTAAGGAAATTTTATGATTGTTAATTGTGTAAATAGCCATTTTACAAAGAAAGCATTACTGAAAAACACACAAGCCAGATATTAGGGGAAAAAAATCTCACAAAATTTCCAGGCTGCCATAAATGAGTATCACTTTCTTTTTCCTTAAACAGATTTTAAAAAGAGCAGTGGAGCCAAGTATGGTGTCCACATCTTTAATCCTAGCACTGGGGGGGGGGGGGGGGGGGGAGAGAAAGGCAAAGGCAAGTGGATCTCTGTGAGTTTGGGGCCAGTCTGGTCTACACAGTGAGTTCCAGGACAGGCAGAGATACATAATGGGACACACACCGTCTCAAAAAAAAAAAAAAAAAAAAAAAAAAAAAAGGCAAAAGTGTGTTGTACAATTCTCTAGTTTCTCTGGCTATTTCTTTGTATATAATAAACAGAACTAAGGGACACTCCAAATAGGATATATCCTGCTTGACTCTAAATCATCCAGTTCTTTGTGTTGGTGAACAAATTTATGGAGTATTCGTGAAAATTTCAGGAATTGAGAATTTGTGTTAAGTTTGAGCAACAACTTAAAGTCATTAGTTACAATACAGTAAAACGCAGTATTTTTCAAAACCATTGTTAACTGGCTTCCATATAAAAAATTGATTCTTTTAGGGCTAGGGGTATAGCTTATTGGTAAATCACTTGCCTAGTAAGCTTGAGACCCTCGGTTCAGTCCCTAGTATTTGTGGGAGTGGTGGTCTATTCATTTATATCATAGAAAGTTCTCCGAGGCGACATGCCAACATGCTATGCACTTGAATGTAGCAGGTTTTTCTCTCTATGGTAACTCAGACTTTACAACTGACCTTCCTTCAGTTTGTCTAAACGTATACACTTCAACACGATTTTAAGGGGCCCATGGGTAAATTAAAACTTTAAACTGGGTAAGCGCCTTCAGGAGGAGATTAAAACTATAATTTTCGCTATAAGATGACGTGCAAAAAAAATATCTCTGATCATTCGAAAAGGAGGGGCCAAAGTATCAGGAAAACTACGCCAACAGCTTGGAATCAAGAACTCAAACTCGCCCTTTGCCAGAGCCTCTGGGACCCGGTCTCAGCGAGCGCCTCCTGTGGTGGGCAACTGGACACCAGCAGCTGGCACAGGCCATCTGTTCTACCACCTTTGCCTCCCTCAAGGCCAAGGACAGCGACGTCCTCCTCCCCCTTCTCCTCCTCTTTGGTGCCTCCAGCCAGGAGGCGGGGGTGACCCATAGCAGCTGACCCAGCTCGGGCACTGCCTCTTCCACAGCCCTCCGGACACACCATGGGCCCAGAGGCTGGCTATTGGCACACTAGCGACGACGCAGGCGGCGGCCCCGGCGACTCTCAACTGCCTCCCTGGACCACGACAACTTCCCGGAAGCCATCGCCGCCACCTGCAGAGGAATCTGACCGCGGCAAAGCCATCTCCACTTCGGACTAACAGCTACGTAAACAACTATGGAGGGAGAGAGGCGGCGGACCCAGGCGCTGGGAGAAGGACGGGCCATCGACGTCACGCCCAGAGCCCCCATCCGGGAACCGAGGCAGAGACTCGCCCCTCAAAATGGCGACAGCAGTGACGTGTCTGCGTACGGAACTCATCAGTCGCGCCACGGACGACGGGAAGTGAGGTTTTCAGAAGAGCCGCCAGAAGTGTACGGCGACTTCGAGCCCCGGGTGACCAAAGAAAGGTCCCCGGGGGGAAGACGAACCCCGCCAGAAAAGTTCCGGCCGGATTCTGCGAAAGAGGAAGTGAGAGAAAGCGCTTACAACCTTCGTTCTCGACCACGGAGGCGGCGGGGACCCCAGGAAGCCGAGGAGATGAAGACGCGAAGGTCTGCCCGGATTGAGCAGACCTCACAGCAGCCTCAGCCCCAGCTGTCTCCAGCTACGAGCAGGCGAGGATTACGGGACTCTCAGTCCTCAGGTGAGGACGGCGGAGATAACAGTCTCAGCTGCCCGCTCCCGGGCGCGCGTAGTGGCGGGCACGGGCTCAGGTGGCGGGAGGAGCGTCCCTGTGGAGTCCGGCCACGCTTCCGCGGCCCTTTGGGTGCGCACTCCCGACCTGAGTCCACCCGGACCCTCAGGAGGGAAGGACGCACCGGCCCGCGGAAAGATGGTGGTGCCAAGTGACCCGAGCGGACGCGGGGAGCTCTGCCTATCCCTGGGCATCAGTTTGGGGCAGTCTAGGTCTCCTCTTTTACAGGGTTTTGCTAGCGTCGACGGTTCAGCCACTGTCGGGACTCCAAAATTACTCTAAGCTCGGTTTTATTTCCGTCCCCTTTGCGAAGGCTTCTACTGAAGCCACTTTCATTTCCTTTTTGTTTGTTTTTTAAAATCTCGGGGACACCAAGTCCCCAGCTGAGAATCATGGTTTTGGGTTAATTTTCCAGGCCATTTCTCTTCCCACCAAAACTGGGGGAAAAATGTTTTCTAGACGGATGCTACCAAGAATAGCAGACTTTATTGAACTGGCTTGTGACCTTACTCCAAATGCATAAAGTGTGGTTGTCTATGCCCAACTTTTCCCCTGGTTGAAGGCCGTCCCTGTAACCTCAAGTACCTATACAAATCAAGGCTGACAAAATACCAAAATAAAACAAGGGTCTGTTCATTAGGAAAGCTTCTAAAAGAATCCCCAACTGCCGACAGTGTGTGTACTATAGTTTTAATTAAGTGACAAATCTCTTTAAAGACATCCTCCCACAACCTGATCTCAGATGTAACTGAGTCGCAAATGGTTTCCTAGTAAGCCCCATTGTAAATCACCTGTGAGGTAAAATTTGGAGGGTTTGGGTCACAATGGAATGACATCGCTAATGGTAGATGGATGTTCAGCTTGGAGCACAATAAAAAGCTTTCAGGTTTACTTGCTTGCCCCTAAAATCCTGAGACCTGTTGATTTTGGAAACTCTACTAGGGATGCGCATCTTCTTTTGAATACAACAAAACAGTTTGTTCTGTATATGTGTTAGTAGTATTTCTTGTAAGATGATAAACTTTTTGAAAAACAGGAGCCTGTCATATATGTCTGGTAGTAATTTAGATACTTTGTTTAGTTCTATCTCAGAATCTGAGACAGTGCTTTGCACATGGGAGACATTGTAACGGTGTTACTTTTTACTGTCTCCCACAGAGCCTCCTGCACTTAAAAAAAAAATCTTACCTTTTGGAACTTTTTTTTAAAGGATTCTCAGCACTCATGAGGCAGAGGCAGGCGGATCTCTGTGAGTTCGAAGCCTACAGAGCTAGTTCCAGGACAGGCTCCAAAGCAATACAGAGGAACCCTGTCTCGAAAACCAAAAAAAAAAAAAAAAAAAAAAAAAGAGGATTTAAACATTTCTTCTACCTACTTAATCTGAATCAATTTTGGATCTGGAACCCATCTTTTTTTTTGTTTTCCCCTAAAGTGACATTTTTTTTTGTTGTAAAGCAACAATTCATAGTTTATATTTTATTTTACTTGTATGTATGTCTGTGCAGTTGCATATATCTGTGTGAGCATATGCACATATGTGAAGCCAGATGATACCAGGTTCTCTGGAGCTGAAGTTACAAGCTCCTTACTGTGAGCCACTTGGACGGATGTGCTGGGATCCCCCAGTGTTCTGAAAGAGCAGCAGATGCTCTTAATCACTGAACCCTCTCTCCAGACTTCATTATACTGTGTCTTAATAAGAATTCTGACTAGTTTAATTCCCGAATTTTGAGCCTAGAGAAATTGAGTACTTGCATCTCTGTTTATAGATTATTGTTGAATATTCATACTCTGTGCCTTAATTTCTCCCAGATCATCTAACTTAAGTTTTATCTCTAATCCCTTCAGTAGAGGATGAACCTTCTTCCCAAACTGTTACAAGCCAAACAGCCTCAAAGAAAACTGTCAGAACACCAGAGACTTCAAGTAAGAATATTTTGGGTTTTTGTTTGTTTTGCTTTTCTCTGTACCTGGGCTCATCAAGAATCACAATTCAGAGTCTTGTGAGTCTTCTTTATCAGGTCACTAAATTAAGCCACGTGGGTACTTGCAAGAACATGCAAGGGTGAACTATCTAGTGAGTTCAGCTATCAGCTACTATGTATTTGTTAATCTTCATAATCTTTCAGGGAAGCAAGTACTCTGCCCCCCTTAATAGATGAGAAAATGGAGCTCAGAGTACCTAGGATTCTTCTCTAAGATCACATGATACATGACTAAACATAAATTCAGACTCATGTTTGTCTCTCTAAAACCTCTTCATTTCCCCCAAACCTTCACTTTCAGTCTCAGGTAATCATAAAGTGTCAAATGGTTATGTCACAGTGCCTTCTACTTAGTTGTTTCTGCATACTAAAACCCTGTCACAGTGAGTTTCAAATCTCTCATCTTAGTAAGATGTTTCATTAAATCCAAGGTATCATTAGATGCCTCATGTACCACCTAGAAGAAAAAAAATACTGCCAAATTCCTGGTAATGTGCCATAATTACATAATAGATGATTTCAGAGGTGTTTAAAATGTAATAAAGAAAAATTGTCCTATAATCACTATAAAAGGGAAATGGATTACATGTAATAGTTCACTGAAGTGTTTTCTTTTTTAATTCTTGTGTGCCACTGTACATTTGTGGAAGTCAGAGGAAACCCTTGTGAAGTAGATTCTCTTCTACCTTTATGTGGATTATAGGTACTGAACTCAGTTTGTTAGATTTAGCAGGAAGTGCCTTTACCATGGAGCCATCACACTGGCCTGAGAAAATAACAACATCTTTATACATAATTTTCTTGACTAAAAGCCAGTGTGTTTTAAATGGCTTTATTACAAACCCTATACCTTTGAACTTGGATCATTTGAAATGAAACATGGCTAGCATTAATATTTTGCTTAAAATTAGTCTTTCCATTTCCTGGACATATATATGATTAAATAGTTGAAGAGTATGTTAGCTCTAAAAGTATATCGCAAGTACATATCACAAAATGTGATACCACATATCTATGGCCTCAGCACTTGAAAGGCTGAGGCAGGAGAATTCCTTCAGTGTAAGGTCTGCCTATGCTATGAAGTGAAACCTTTCTCAAAAATAAGCAAAGGCCAATTTCACACTTAGAATAGACAGTGAGGTTGATGATACAGTGCATATTTTGGTCCCTACCCCACCCTGCTTTGGCATACTGAGGATTAAACCAAGGATCTAGTGCTGGCTGGAGAAACATCATCTCTGGTCCCAGAATTTGGTTACTAATAGTTTTCAGGTTTCGGGGCCAGGGTCTCATGTAGCTGGTACTCAGACCCACTGGGTGGCAGAGGGTAACCTTGCGTCAAACTCCTGATCCTCCTACCTCTGTCTCCCATATATTAGAATTGTAGGCATATACATACACCATCATGCCTTGCTTGAATAATTTAGAAGAGTTTTATTAACTAATCCTCTTTGAACAATATGGTCTACTGAGAAAAATTTCAGGTTTCTTCAAGACTATACATTCTGTAGAGCAGGTAAGTTCACTCTAGTTTACTGTTGTTAGCAATTTGCAAGAGGCCATCCCCTAGAGAAATTTGCCTTTGGTTCTCAATCCTAATCAGAGTTTGGGAAACTTTCTTGACCAAATGAAGATGATTGCATACTAAATCTTGTGTTTCACTTATTCTTCTCTTCCTGTACCAGTGATGAGTGAAGACCCTATAAGTAACTTACGCAGACCCCCACTAAGAAGTCCAAGATCTGGTAAGAGATTGCTCTGTTAATTTAACACTTTCTTATAAATACAGTGTTACTTCTGGAGGAGACATGTATTCATATGGTTCAAAACTTACCCCAGCATGGTGGTGTACAATTTAATCCTAGAACTTTGAAGACAGAGGGGGATCAGGAGACCAGGGTCATCTTGGCTACAGAGAGTTTAAGGCCATCCTGAGCTACGTAAGACTAATGAAGTCTTTCTGCATCCATTGTCTTCTGTCCATCCTGCCTTAACATCAGGAGTGACCAGTGTCGGCTTATTTTTCTAGAGATACTTATTTTCCACCTGCATCTTTTTGACAGTGCTGAGGCTTGACCCACAGCCCTGCACATACTTGGCAAGCTTTCTACCAGAGTCATATCTGCTGTTGCTCTCTCTTTTTAAACGAAGCTTGGCTCAGTGAATATTCTTCACCTCCTTGTTTGTTTCCACTTCATTTCATCTGTATTAAGAGATCTTTCCCTATTGGTGAATACAAAAGGCTTCTGCATTGTTCTTAAAAGATTATTCCTTACATGGTGCTGTGGTTATTTTGTGCTTGAGTGGTGCTTTCTAATTAAGGTTGGGAACTTTTTAGTCTTCTCAGTAAGGCTTTGTGACATGGAGCTATAAAATGTTGCTGCCTCAACTAATTTCCTTTTGACTAAAACTTTGGAAGTCCTTAAATTAGTTTGACTACTATGAAAGAAAACTCGTAAGGTTACTCCATACAATCTACTTGCACTTTTTTTTTCTGCTTATTATTGGTCCTTTCTATTAGGTCTCTTGCATCTCAGCCACTCCCTTTCAGATGATAAAACCTTTGTAAGTATCTGAGCAAATGGTTAAAGGACTGTATGCTGTATCCTTTTCAGTTCTAATCATTTTCTTGCTGTCTCTCTTACAGATTCAACATACAAAACAAATGGAAATACTAAAATGAATGAAATAGGTTTGTTTTTCTCTAATTCTTGGATGTTCTTATTGAGGATCCTTAGCAGCAAAATATCTCAGTGTGTGTTTTGTGGTTGGTTTGAGACTATTGCTTTGTTCATTGTCTCAGCTTATGGGGTGGTGTCCCTGGAATTCCTGAGGTTTTATTCTGTTTTAAATTGTCTTATTTGTTGCTTGAATTCATGCGAAAATACACAGTAATAAAGTCCATTTTGTGTGGTTCTCAGGGTTGAACCGTGGTCTCACACATGCTTGTCAAGCATCCTACCGTTGAGCCTCATCCTCTCAACCTTCCTTGTTGTCTTATTCTGGTTTTGTTGTATTGTTTTTGATTTGTTTGTGCAACGAGGTTTCATGTATTGTGATAGTCTCAGCTATGAAGCTGAGGATGACCATGAACTCTTGATCCTCTCGCCTCTACCTCCCAAGTGTGAGGATTACAGATTTGTGCCACCAAATCTGACAAAGGAAGGTACTTTTTAATTAGCTTTTGTTCAATATATGCCATGAGGAGAAAGAAAATACCAACTAGGATGTATTTTTCCCTAGATTCAGAAACTCGGTTTGTTTTTGTTTCATAAAAGCCATGCCCTTTGCCTCTTTGTTGTTGTTTCACTAATTTAACTTCTTTTTAGTGTTTGTCTTGACATAGAACATGAGATTTCAACATCTGGCTTTAGGGATCTAGGGTCATGGTTTGGGGGTAAGCATGATTGCTTTGCATGTATAAAATGTGGGGGTCAAACTCCCAGCACCTCTGTAAAAGACAGGCATGGCTTCAGTGCCTGTAACCCTAACTGCTGAGTATTGGAGACAGGTGGATCCTAGGTGCTCCATGGCTAGTTATGGTAGCTGAAATGACAAATTCAGGTTCAGGAAGAGACCGTCTGATGGGAGTAAGGCAGAGGACAACAGAGGAACACAGCATTGTTTTCCTCCGGTTTTCACACACCTGTACACACATACACAAACAAGGAAGATGTATATATAAAACAATAAAATCTGTAGCTCTAACTGGGCCTGTTGTCTCATGCCTTAACCTCAATACTTGGAAAGGGAAGGCAATAGGACCAGGTGTTCAAAGCCATCTTAGCTTTACTGCGTTGGATGTGTTTGGAACTGATTTAAAATTTTAAGAGAAATTTTGAAAAAAAAATTTTTTTTTTAAGTTCATAGTTACAAATTCCTCTATTAAACATAGTTTTACCTAGGCCTGGGCTAAGTTTTACAAAGGCGTCAGGATCTATAGTTTCTGGATACTAAGATGAACTTTGCAATATATTCCTTATCCTTTTTGTTTTGTTTGTTTGTTTTGTTTTGTTTTGTAGAGTTTGAGCCTCATTTAGCCCAGGCTAACCTCAAATTCACTATGTAGCTGAGAATGATTTTGAACTTCTGATCCTCTTAACTCCATTCTCCACGTCTAGGTTTACAGACTTTTGTCACCATGCCCAGCTTTCATAAGAGTTTCTCAAATTCTCTTTTTAACTGGGCATGATCTATTTAACATGGGCATCTATTTAACATGGGGACTGTAACCCTAGCACCCGGGGGGAGGTGGTGAAACAGGATTGTTGCAAGTTCATGGCTAATCTGGACTACATTAGAGTTCTAGGCCAGCATGGACTACAGAGTAAGATTGTCTTAAAAAATAAAATAAAATAAAATAAATAAGGAAGCTGAATAAGAGGGAAATTAAATCAAAGCAGGAAGTCATAGATGCTACTGATTCATCATCAGTTTGTATCTGATTAGTCTATATAGTCTTTGAAGATTTATTTGCTTTTATGCATAAATGTTTGCCAGCATGTATATGTATGTGTCTGGTTCCTGTGGAGGTCAGAAATAGGCATCAGATCTCCTGGAATGTGGGGGCTAGGAATTGAACCCAGGTCCTCTAGAAGTGTCCACTGAGAAATCTCTGTAATTCAGGCTGTATATCCTTGTAGCTTCCATTAAAAGAGGAAAACAAGCCACACACACACACACACACACACACACACACACACACACACACACACGAGTCTTAGCACTTCAGAGGCATAATAGAGGAGGATCAGAAGTGGGAGGACAGCAAGACCCTATAATCCTGTCTCAAAAAAAAAAAAAAGTGTTTAAAACCTTATATGAACCCTTAATTAGTGAGAACTAGTCTCAGACTGTTTTTCTTATGTTGCTATGTATAAACAAACTTCTTTTTAACCACTTCCTATGTTAGTGACTGACCTAAATGCTAGGACCATAAAGTGCTATAAGTTGGTTTGTGTGTGTGTGTGTGTGTGTGTGTGTGTGTGTGTGTGTGTGTGTGTGTGTGTTTTCTTCTGGATCTCAGAAGTATGTTAGGTAATGAAAAGAAAACAAGATTAAAAAAGAAAAACACAATTAAAAATCAGGAAGTTGGTCAGGGTTTGAGTATGAGGCCAGCCTGGGCTACTAACCCAAATGGAAAATAATTGTAACTTTATAAGTTGTTGTGACAGTTTGTGTAGAATATGGAAGAAAAGTGCCCTAATGGAGAGGCTCAGCTTTTTAAATCAGAAAGGCATTTGATTGAAATTTGAAATACAAATAGCAGGCAAGGCAGGGAAGAAGACTTGCAAATACTACAATCTGCCTTGGGACAATTGTCATTTCTCACTTTAGAGAAGGAGCTACAACTACTCAATATTGGTGACAGCACGATGTTAGTGGTCTTTTTAATTGAAAAATGTGTAAAATGATGTTCTCAGTCACAACATAAGGATTGCTGTGTGTGTGAGAGAGAGGGGTGGGGGGGGAGGAGACCAGAAGACAACTTGTGAGAGTCTTTTTTTTTTTTTTTTTTTTTTCCCTTTTTTTCCCCATCATATATGTTACAGGAAAGGAATTCAGGTCCTGGTGCTTTGGTTTTTGGTTTTCTGAAACAGGGTTTCTCTGTGTAGTCCTGACTGTCCTGGAATTCTCTCTGTAGACCAGGCTGCCCTTGATCTAACTGAGATCCCCCTGCCTCTGCCTCCCAAGTGCTGGGATTAAAGGGGTGCGCAACCAGTGCCTGGCCACCAGTACTGGATTTCTTCAAGTGATGAGATCAAAATAACCTTGTATAGCCAGTTATCAATTGTTTCTTGAATGCTGTTGATAAATATTTAAGGATGTTAATAATGTTAATAGAATTCTAAAGAAAAGCTCTTTACACAGACAGTAGGTAAACAATTCTCAACCTTTTTTTTTTTTTTAAAAAGAAGAAACCTGGGTTGGTGACTCCTGCCTATAATCAAGAAAGAGACAAGATAATAAGGAGTTTGAAGGCACTGTGGGATGTATAGCCAGAATCTGTCATAAAATAACTGAAAAGAAAAATAAGACTAAATATTCAATACATTTTTTAAATCAAATATATAAAAGATCAGTCTAGTTTTCTGTTTTTGTTTTTTGTTTTATTTTGTGACACAGTCTCCATCACCCAGATTGACTTAGAAATTGTAATACTCCTGCCTCTGGCACCAAGTCATGGGATTACAGGCATGTATTACCATACCTGGTTTCAATTCAATCTTTTATAAACATTTTTATATAATAAATAGTTTATAAGGAGTAAGCTAGGCATGGAGGCTCATGTGTGCTATGGGAATAATTATGTAAATTAAAACTGCTATACAAAGAATAAAATACTGTAATAGTCTAGTAATTTGAAAACAAAATTTGTAAGCTGAGCATGCTAGTATATCCCTTTAATCCTAGCACTCAGGAGTCAGAAGCAGGAAGATCTTTACGAGTTGACTCAAAGAGAAAAAGATTGGGAAGGGGGCAGTGAAAAGGCTCAGGGGTTTGATGCCAGCACTAACAACCTGAGTCCAGTTGCTGGGTCCCAGACGATGGGTTCTTCTGCAGCTTGTCCTCCAATCACAGCACAAACACTCAACAAATAAGATGTCATTTTAAATTTTGAACAGCAACAACAACAACAAAAAAAAAGCTTAAAGGATAAAAGACTTCCTGTAATTCAAAATGTAAAATTTTAATGGTTTTCCCAACATGTGCGTGCGTGTGTGTGTGTGTGTGTGTGTGTGTGTGTGTGTGTGTGTGTGTGTGTGAGAGAGAGAGAGAGAGAGAGAGGAGAGAGAGAGGGTGGGGGAGAAAGAGGGAAGAAGGAAGGAAGGAAGGGAGAGGAAGATTATTTTGAGCTAGGCTGTGTAGCCTAGTCTACGTCAACCTCACTGGTGATTCTTCTGCCTTAGCCACCCCTGAATGCTGGAATCATAGTTGTACAGCACCACACCCAGTAAATTTGCATTTTACTTCTTTAAAAACAAAGGAGCAATAATGGGGTACCTGGTCCACAGCGTGTGCTGTGACAGCTTTTAGCTCTCTGAGAGAACTAAGATGTTATTGGCAAGTTTCTCAAAGTGATTGATTGTCTGTTTTCTAGCAAAAATGTTGATACATTTTAGACACTGATTTATACCTGCCACTGTTTTCAGTAGAACTCACTTTGACTAATATTATATTAACCTAATAAATTTATGTGAAAAAATTCCAAATTCATAATGTAATGTTTAGAATCACATTCCAGCCAGGCAGTGGTGGTGTACACCTTTGATCCCAGCACTCAGGAGGCAGAGGCAGGCAGATCTCTGTGAGTTCGAGGCCAGTCTGGTCTACAGAGTAAGTTCCAGAACAGTTAGAGCTGTTACACAGAGAAACCCTGTCTTGAAAAAACAAAACAAAACCACTCTCTGAAATCATATTTCCACCTGTAAGCCTAAAATGAGTAATATGAAAACCAACTCTCCAAAACTGTTCAATGCAATTCAAGAGCCATACATCATGGTAAGTTCATATATCCAAGGTAAAAAGCAAAAAAAGCAAATTAAAGAAAGGCAAGTTCGCTTAAGCTGTTTTGAAATAAACCACACTGACTACAGGAAGTATTGCAGGAGTCAGTGGTTACTTTATAGAAAGTATCTAGTTGAGAGCTTGAGGCAGGAGTGCAGGTATGCATTATATGTAGAGTGCTTTGCCTAGCCATGTACTAGACCTTAGCTTCAATCTGCAGCACCACACAAAAGGAAGGAAAAAGTGACTAATCTGAACATTTGTGTCTTCAGACACATTGCTATGGTATTAATCATAACCACAAATTTGAGGAGCCTTCTCGTGGCTATCAGTCTACTTTGGTTACGTTTGGCATAAATGACTGTTGTGATGCTGAAAGCTTTTTAAAAAGCAGATGGAGGTAAAAGCTGAAAAGATATTCTCCCAGCTTTGTTAAAGTTGAAGTCATCCTAATCCTGTACAGTTTTACTCAGTATTTTCACCCAGTTATGCTGATATTTGGGTGTCACTTCCTGTATTGAAAAAGACAAACTGTCTCAAAGGAAAAAGAAACAACTTAAAACAAAAGTCTTTCATAATAGGCCACGTGCAAATCCTGAGTTTTAAGTTTGGTTGATAATGTTTGGTTGTTTATCTTTCAATTCCCCGTTTCTGAACAACAGTAGGGTGATGCCTGTTCATACTTCCTTCTTTGTCACACTAGTGTACCAAGGACTTCTTTGTTTGTTCCTTCAGCTTGTTATGAAGAAAGCAGAGAAGCCTGGCAAATAGAATTAAAATGTAAACCTGTGGGACCTGTAGGAACTTAGAATATTTGTCAATGTACAATTTAATGTTTTCTGTACACATTACATTTAGAGTACAAACAGGCCTATGACAGGTGTAATAGCAGCATTCAAGAGATACATATAATAGACTGAGAAGTTCAACCTAGTAAATTTGAGTTTATCCTGGGCTATCTTAAATTCTGTCACAAAAACAACAAAAATTAAAGCCTTGGGACTGGAGAGATCGGCTCTGAACTTGAGTGCTTGTTCTTCCAGTAGACCTGAGTTCACTAGCATCCATGTCAGGCAGCTTACAGTCTCAACTCTGGGGGCTGTGGTACCCTTTTCTGGCCTCTCAGGCACTTACTTATACACATACACATCAGTAAAAAGAAATCTTTTTAAAAGTACATGTTTTATAAAGCTAAACATCTACCAGGCATGGTGGTATACATCGTGAATCCTAGCACTTCAGAGATGAGGCAAGTGGATCATTTGTGAGTTCAAGCCTAGCCTGGACTACATAGTAAGTCCTGGGCTAGTTAGCACTGTACAGTAAAACCCTGTCTCAAAAACATAAAATGAATGCCCTTTATTTGGGGCTGGTTAGGAACGATTACTGCTCTTGCAGGTCTCAGTTCACTTCCCAGCACTCATGTCAGGTGGCTTACAGATACCAGCTCCATGGGAACCAACTCACTAGATTTTTGCACATATGTGACACAAATACATATGATTTGGTATTAATAAAAGCATTTGTTTCTAACATGAGTTTATGTCAGATTTTTTTTCTGCAACAGTCAAAAGGGAATGATAGATCCTTAGTCATTTTACAGGAAAAAAGGTTTTTTGTATTTTGTTGATTTTTCCTTAGTCATGTGCTCTTATTATTCCTAAGCTTTAGTTTCTGATGGTACATTGTGTCTTTCTCTTCTAGAAGCTGCCAGTAACCAACCAGTCCATTTCTCTGAAGAAGGTAATTTCTTTTTAACTATCATGTAATATTTTGCTGTTCTGTATATTAGAAGCAGTTTTGATAGGTATTTAAGAGGAAGAGCAGAAAACGGTTGTTTTGAACAACAACATAAATAAATAACCCACCAGTGAACTATCAAGATAAACCAGGATAGGTAGTTTGGATAGAATGAGTAAGGAAAGTCCTTACATACTTTTAAGCATCTTTATCTATTCAATTTTAAGGAAGGCTAGTATTTTCCACTTCTAGCTTATGTTTGTTTTTGATTGTGATAGTAAATCACTTTCTAAATTTTTCTGACTAGTTTATAAAAAATATAAACAAATTTTTTCTTGTTTTTTTCTTTTTTTGAGACAGGATTTCTCTGTATAACAGTTTATGGTGTTCTGGAACTCACTCTGTAGATCAGGCTGGTCTTGAACTCATGGAGATTCATCTGCCTCTACCTCCCAAGTGCTGGGACCCATCTAATTTAGTTCATTTTTATGCCAATATAATGTGAAATTAGTAGTTGGGATAACAAAATGTTTGTGAGTGTAGGAACATTACCCATGGGGAAAAAATAAAAAACCACTGATGGGCAGGCCCACACTAGTCAGTCAGTCATGTCTTTGCACAGCCAGTTTACTGTGTAGTTTCTTCTCATAAGCTAAAAATCTCTTGATTATTTCCTGATCACCTATTCATTTTGGACTCTTCATTAAAGCTTCAGTGTATAATTTTCAGACATTTGTTTAAGAAATTTGGTGCTGAATACATGAGCTCAACTGTGGCTCATTTAGAACTTTGTTATTTTAAATGGGAAGTGCAGTAAACAGACAGCATCTATGTACTGGAAACTCAGATGCTTTACCTGTAACCTGTGTTTAATGCAGATCTTTTGAACATTAGCATAAGACTGTACTATTGCATTGTCCATTTCCTTCTAGGAGAAACTGAAGATGATCTAGAGAGCTCTTACAGTGATACCACTATCAAGGTCAGATCCAGGGATTCTGTTGAGTCTAGAGGTAACGTTTCCTTATATACATGTAACTCTTCTCTCAGGGCCATCTTAATTCAAGCCTAGTTTTAAAGCCTTTGAAATTTTTTTAAAAATCATTTTTTAAAGTTACAATTTTTAAAGTACATTGTAATTAATTCCTTACATTAATTGCATACATGTTATTAGTAATGTGTCATGTAACATGTAGCTGAATAGAGCACTTTTTAGCCTGCTTGAATATTTGGGGAAAGATGTTTATTCTCAAGAACTACTGCCATTTTTGAATTTTGAAAATTGATCACATTGGTATTCAACAGCTTGAAAAGTATTGTTCAGTTTCAGGAACTTCTGGTATTCTTAGATAATTACTTTGTCTTTAGGTCAGATTCTTAACCATGTTAGACATCACAGGGGCTTTAGTTGTTTAAATACGACAGTCTTTAATTGTTCATGTGACTTGCCTTTAAGTATACTTTATCAAAGAGTTGGTTGGCTAGAGAAAAGTAGTAACTTAAGATGCTAGACTAATTTGTAAACTCTAAATGGGTAACTTTTTTAGTCCTACAGAAATACTGTCTCATGGAAATCTGTACAATTCTCATTATTTGCATCATCTTTTTTTTTTTTTTTTTTTTTTTTTTTTTTTTCCATTGAAGATAAGCTCTCAGGACTGAGTGTAGTGGCATACACTTTTAATCCCAGCACTCACTTGAGGCAGAGGCAAGTAGATCTCTGAGTTCCAGGCAAGCCTGGTCTAGATAGCAAGTTCCAGGCCAGTCAAGAATTCTATGGGGTCTATATAGTAAGACCCTATCTCAAAAATTAAAATAAGATAAGGTCACGGGACTGAGGACAGCCTTGGTGGTAGAGTGCTTGCCTAGCATTTGGGTGAGAATCCCTGATTTAAAGCTCAAAAGCTGGTTTATAAGCATTTGTTATGTTGTATATCACCTCCCCTTATTTTCCCTCCAGTCTTTTTTTTTTTTTTTTTTTAATCCTGTTTTTACTTAGAGAGATTTATTTTTACTTTATTAGATAGGAGGTACTGTATAACACAGTTGTTCTTAAATTATTGATCCTCCTGCTTCAGTCCTACCCTTGTCCACAGTAGTGATGGCATTAAAAAGATGTACATACCACAGTGCCCAGTTTCTATCATCATTATTACTATTTTTGTTTTTATATGCTAGCATACAAACTAATAGATTTCTTTTTTTGATATTTTCACACATACATATCTTTACAGTTTTTTTGTTCTTCCCTTTAGCCCTTATCTTCTTAAAACATTTAATATTTTTATTCTTTCACAATTTCATACATATGTGATGTTCTTTAACAATTTCATACATATGTGATGTTCTTTAATTGTACACCCCTCAGTATCCTCTTTCATCTCCCTCTGCCTCCTGTTTAACTTCTGCTTTTCCCAACAAGTCCCCTTCATACCTTTTTTGTATGTGAGTGTAGGGTTGCCTTCGTGAGCAGGGGTGGATGAGAGGTTATTTATTTGGGCAAGAGTAACTTACCAGAGGCTACACCACTGAGGAATATGACTTTCCTTTCCCAGCAACTGTTAACTGCCTACTAGGTCCTTCTTCAGGGTGGTGTCAGGACCCCTCCCCCGTCTGTGATGGAATGTTGATGGCCCAGTCCTTTGCAGGTTCTGTGCACCTCCACTTTACCTTGATCCTTTCCTCCTTGCAAATAGTCCTTCCTTCTGCTTTCATGTTACAGAAAAGAAGGGATGTATAGTGATACACTCTTCAGGCCGAGAACTTTTTATAAACAAAGTAATTTATCTGTTTTGTTCTTTTGATTTAAATGCTCATTGTTCTCCTGCAGAATGAACACTTAAAAAACGATGCATCAGGGCTGGAGAGATGGCTCAGCCGTTAAAGGCTAGGCTCACAACCAAAAATATAAAAATGATGCATCAGACACTTTTTGTTTTTTAGATGAAGCCACCAGATCCTCTAGTTACCATCAAGAATCATCTTGGAGGTTACCACAGAGTGAGTAGTCCACAAGTTTAACAATCTCTGTGGGAAGACAAACCTTCTGCTTTCTGTAGTTTGTCATGTGTTTTTGCCTACATTATAACATCAGTTGCTTTTAGTTTGTTCGTTGATTGAGAAGTGTGAGTCTTAGAACTTTGAAACTTTTCACATTTGAGATGATAGGATATAAAATATTGGAAGCAGTATTTTAGGGTTCAGGTAACTGTGGTCATTAATGACATTTGACTTTGATCCTTTTAGGGGTACTGAGGGTAAAACCAGGTTTTTTAGTGCTTTAGGCAAGCATTGTATCACTTTGCTATACCCCAGCTCAATAATTTTCTTAGTTGTTACTATTTTCTATTGTAGATAATCTATAATGAATATATTTCTTATGTTAAGCAAAATAATAGTATTTTTCTTTGTTTATTTTTAAATAAAATCCCAGTATTTAAATTGATCAACTCATGATATACTTGTATGTAAATAGTCAAGAACTTCTTTTCCCTTCTACATTTTCTTATTGAAAATATGCATTGAATCTAAGTTTCCATTTTTTAACATATCAATAAAATGAAAACCATCCATTTAAACTGTATTATTAAATATGGCCTTAAGTACATTTTTCTAAAAAATGCTTCTTAGTATTTGATTAAAGAAAGTGTATGTATGTCCTTTATTTTCACACATGCACAGACCTACTTTTACTTTGTTTTGAGACATGGTCTCACTGAGTTTCCTAAGCAAACCTTAAACCTGCAATGGTCTTGTATCAGTTTCCTAGGTAGTTGGGATTATAGATCTGTGTCACCAGTTCCAGTGGGGAATAGCTCAGAGCTCACATCTCAGACTTCAAGCAGGAGGCCATGAGAGCACATACAAAATGTCACACAGTTTTTTTGTAACCTCAAAACCTGCCCCAATGGCACATCTTCTCCAACAAAGCCATACCTCCTAAGCCTCCTTAGCTAGGGCTACCAACTGAGGACTGAGCATTAAATGTCACCTGAGGCTTATGGGGGACAGAGATTTCAGACCACCACAGCCTGCTCAGTTGGTTGATTGGCTTTTTTTTTTTCCCCCCTGTGCTGGGAATGAAACCCTCACACACACTACTGAATTATCATTATCTAGTTCTGAGTACTTTTAAGTTTAGAAAAAGGGGAAAATGCTGGGAGGCAGAGGCAGTTGGATCTCTGTGAGTTCGAGACCAGCCAGCCTGGTCTACAGAGCGAGTTCTCTGACAGGTTCCAAAGCTACAGAGAAACTCTTAACTGTGCTTGCTACTCTTGCAGAGGACCAGACTGCAGTCCCCAGCACCACAATGCACAGCTCACAACCATCTGTAACTCTGCCTTCAGACATCTAACATCGTGGGTTCTTTAGGAACTAGCACACTTACACACACACACACACACACACACACACACACACACACACAATATTTTAAAGGGAAAAGCATTTTGTATATTTGACTGGTCTAAGGGTAGGATTGGTTTCTTTATAGCATTCCTGATAGATAAGTGAAACGCCTTTATAACATCTTTTTATTTTTGTTTCCCAGTGTTCTCTGATCTTACTCTTATTTTCTGTTTTAGGCCAGGACTTCACAGCTCATGAGAACCAGCCTTCAGTGCTGAGTAAGTGATTGATAATATAGTATTTATTTTAGTCAGCCCTGCTCCTTATCCAACTAATAAAAAGTTCTTACACGGCCAGGTATGGTGATACATGCCTTTAATCCTAGCAGAAGCAGGTGGATCTCTGAGTTCAAGGTTAGTCTGATCTACAGAGCAAGTTCTAAGATAGCCAGGGCTACATAAAGAAACATTGTCTCAAGAACCCAAATAAATAAATAAATAAAGTTGTAATATGATTTTAAATCATTTAACCTCAGCTTTAAATTCATCACACAGTAGTACTCTGTAATAATTACTCTGTGATATGACATTCTGTTCAGGACTGTTTTAGCCTCAGTGGTTTACTTATAGGGGAAATGCCCAACTTTTTGTCTTAAATGTAATTAGAATCCAATAGAGTAGTTTTGAACTCAGTCGTAGAGACCAGAGTAAAGACATACAACATAGTTTGGTCTGGTGAGTAATTATTTTTTTGTTACGGGAAAGCTTTTGTCTTTACTGATCTGACCCTATGAATTACTTAATACTTTTGATGTTTTCCTCCCTACCCTCCCCGCTCTTGTTACATTTATTATATAATGTGGGACTATGGTGTAAACTTAGAAAGTATATGAAATGATGTTTTTATATATGTGTTTGTTTCAGGTTCAAGATGTCAAAAAAACGCCCAGGAGTGGGTTGAACAAGTCATAAGAATGAGGAATCGACTGCCACGTAAGTAGATACCTCTCTTTTCTGCTGTGCTTTTGTGTGCTGTGCTCCTAGATTGCTATCTGCAGTGCCAGTGCAGTATAGAAAGTGGCTTGGGAAAACCAATGGGTAGTACTCTCAGGCCTCACAGGAGCAGCAGTTTGTGCATGGTAATGAAGGTGTACTCTTCTAATGACTCTGTGTGTGTGTGTGTGTGTGTGTGTGTGTGTGTGTGTGTGTGTGTGTGTGTTTTAGCAGATTTCATGTAGATAAACACTCTACTGCAGCCTTATTTGCCCATTATTTCATGTCCTAAAGGCTGAAATTCACTAATATAGCAAACTCCTTAGTCCCAGCATTTGGGAGGCTGGGGCAGGAAGACTGAGAGGTCATGGTCAGTCTGGGCTTTAGAGCAAAACCTGTGGTCACAAACAAAACAAAAAGCATTGGCTATATAAAAATGTCGGTTCTGTTTTCTGCCTTGAATGATACTTAGCTCTTATTCCTTTCCACACCACACCATTTGTTTTTTGGTGGTTTGAGACAGCATTTCACTATATGGCCCACATTGCCTGGAACTCCATCATCCAGCCTCAGCTATTCAAGTGTCAGGATTATAGGCATGTTGACACTACACTGGGATTCTGTCCCATTTTTTTTCCATCCAACCACAGTTCCTCTTGTCCCCGTTTTTTTAGATTATATAAAAATCTCTGTTTGCCTTTTGCTCATAGAATGACCGGCAATAATTGCTCAAAGTAATCTCTAACGATTCCAATTCACTTTAGCTTACCAGAAAGCTGTATTCCACACTTAAATGAGTTATTTAGCTACTTAAAACAGAAATGCCCTCTTCTCTTGCCTTATTGTTGGCTGTTACTTTTTAATATTGTATATGTATGATATTAGGAGACATTTCCTGTTGTAATTTGTTCTTCGTTGCCTGTTATACTTAGGAAACCAAGTACTAATTATTCAGCTTATTAGAATTATGTGTAACTACAATAAAAAATGAAAAAAATTTTTTTCCTTTCAAATTTGAGAGACAGCATCTCTGTGCCACTCACCCTGGCTGTCCTGGAAATCTGTAGGCCAGGCTGACCTCGAACTCAGATCCCCCTGCCTCTGCCCCCTCGGATTAATGGTGTATACTATCACACTTGATTCAAAATTTAAATTTTAAGAAATAACTCTTGAAAGTAAAAATGCAATAATTTCAGTCTGTATTCCACAAAAAAACATTTCTCAGATTATTTCTTAATTCTTAATATTGTATTCAAGGAACTAAATAGCAAAGAAAAGACATTTGTACACATTGGTAGCAGAAAATATTTTTACACCTTTTTTAGATTAAAATTTGTTTTAAACATTTTATTTGTGTATATGTGTGTACCTGCTTATCCATATGACCCAGGAGAAGATTGGGTTCTCTTGGAACTGGAGTTATTGGCAGTGGGTCCTAGGAACCAAATTCTGGTTCTTTTTTTTTTTTTTTTTCCTCCTCCAAATTCAGGTTCTTTGCAAAAGTACCAAGTGCTCCTAACATCCTAACAGCTAAATCATCACTCTAGCTCTAGAATTATTTTTAAAATTGTGTATGTGCTATATTTCCACACATTAGTACAGTACCTCCAGAGGTTAGGCTAGGGTGATAGAACCCTTGGAGCTAGAGTTACAGGTGATTATGAGCCAGCCACTGGATGTGGAATTTGAACTCTGGTCCTCTAGAAGAGCAGTACATGCTATCTTAACTTCAGTGTCACCTCTCCAAGCTCTTTTAAGGTTTTATTTTCTCTGTGACATTGCTCATTGCAAAAGGAAAAATAATTGAACATCAGTTTGAAATGCAGATGTAGTGCTGCTGTGTTTGTTCTTTGTGGATAGCCCTGGGTGGCCTGGATTTGGATTATAGAGCATGTTGGCCTGCAACTCACAGAGATCCACATGCTTTTGCCTCCCAAATACTGCAGTAAAAAGTAACCGTGACTGGCTTAGCATTTTTTTGTCACCAAATTTTTAACTTTTAGCATTTTATGTTTACACTCCTATTTCATCTAATGTTAGTGTATTTATTATGACTTAAGTACTTGTAACTACCATATCTGGGTATTGTATTGAACTTTGAGAGTATTGTAGAAAGATGGCATACAAGAAACTTGCATACATTAAGCTGAGCTTAGTGATACTTATCTATAATCAGGCTCCTGAAGTTGGAGGTCTGAAGATAGGCTAGGCTCTACATACCTAGACCGATTGGAGAAGGAAGATTATTAATCCTTTAACAATTAAAAGGATGAAAATATTTCTAACAGTGAAAGAAGTCTATAATGATTTTGCAACAGCCTTTATATGGATAACTCTTCAGGCCAAGATAATTGTTTAAACTTTTTTCTTGGTGTTTTTTTTTTTTTTTTTTTTTTTTTTGGCTGCTACTTTTTGCTTTTTGGGCAGGGTCTCACGTGGCCAACACTATTCTTCTTTTCCTCTTGCCACCTCTTGAGTGCTGGGATCATAAGTGTGTACTATCATGCTTGGCTGATTCTCTTTCATATTTCTCTTAGCATTCTAAATGTCATATCCTTCTGTTGGTTATGCATTCCTGTCTGCTGTGGTGGGCTATTTTTAAACACAAGTGTTTTAGAACCTGGAACTTTGATTTCCTTTTGTCATCTCATGTTAGCACCAGTTCCTTGGTTGTAATTGGTCCCAGTTGAGGTTCGAACTGCATCACTGTCTATACTTCTTTCTGCTTACCTTGTGATAAAGTAGTTTAAAGGTTGTCTAGAGAGAGAAGATCTTTGAAACATGTTTTGAGGCCTCTCAAAAATGGGACTGCAGACACAGAGCTTATCATTAGAGCTCTTTGTTCTAATTCCCACTTCCTGCACTTTACTTTTTTACTTTTACAGAGAGTTGTGCTCAGTTTACTGTGATGAGTCTTCTACATTAAACACAAGTTTTAAGTCTGATCACATAACTGTTAATGTTTATTTGTGTTATGTACAAATCAATAACTGGTGGATTTGTGCCTTCTACTCTTTATGGAATGAGTGATTGCTGCTGTAATCTTCAGGATTGAGAATGTCTATAGATCTTCAAGATTTTACTGCCTCTAGTGATTTACTCAGCTCTAGTGATTACTGTGTATAGTAAGAGAGATAAAATTGAACTTTTAGGCTGTGTCCTAACTCAGCAGTTTATACATAGCAGGCCTAAAAGTATATATGTGATCTATGGACTACATACACAGTGTATATGATATATATTTAATACTTATTTGTTGTATCCATCATAAAATAGACCATCACACCACTGCCATGTATCCCATTTGATCTTTGCAACCATGTAATGAGGTATTTAAGATGAACATGCTGTATTTGGGACTTTTTTATTGCTTGGTTTTTAGTAATGCAATTGTAACTTCATGGCATAATCTAGAAGTTTCTAATAGTTTCTTCAGCAGAATTAGTAATTGAAAAACAGTATGGTTCTTGTGGTTAGCATGATGTCATTTTGTCTTACTTGGTTGTTGAGTGTTTCAGATTTGTTTCTGGTTTTGGTCATATGACTCAATTTCTATATCTTAGCAGTGCTAACTTTATTCCTTGGTCTAATCCAATGTTTCTCAAGTAGAAGCTTGAGAATAAACACAAGGAAGACCATTCAAAAGTTGTCCATGCAAAAGTTACTTCAGGCAAGTGTTAGATGGGTAAATGGCAAATGGAGGTCATTTCAGTGAGGTTGCTGGGCCTCTCTGTCTCCTGCAACAAGCTTGTTTTGTTTCATTTTATAAGATTTTAAAACATTACTAAAGACTTAAACAGTCAGAATCCCCAGAGGAGATAGATATTCAGTCATTCTAAGAGAAAATAATGTGGATTTAAGATTTATATGGAAATAACTTATTCCAGGCACTCTAGGTAATCCACAATCTACATTTTCTTCCTCTTTATAGCATCTTCACCAGGCAACAGTTAGTAAATGCTCATTTTCCAGTGATTTTGTGCTGTTGTTATGGTGTGGTGCCCCCCCCCCCCGGTCTTTTTACCTTTGTCCCAGAGGTTACCATTCCTATTAAATAAGCTGCAAGGCTTTCTTTCAACACTGAGTTGAATGTTCATTCTGTGCTAGGTCTGTGCTGCTGGGATTAACTGCGAAAGGGCCTTCAGTGTAACAGGCGCTTGGATATTTTGCCTCACCTACTACTGATGCTGCCTTTTGGTGGAATTTGCATTTTCTTTCTCTAATGGAAATAAGTGGACAAATAAAACATAAAATTGATGGTCTTTTGAAATTATTTTTTATCTTAGATAACAACATTCAGGAATCAGAGTTTGGAAGCCAATCTCCCTCGACCTCCAGCCAATGTAAGCTTATCTATTTGTTAAGTGAATCCAAACTTGGTGGCCATACTTGTTTTAAAACATTTTTTTGACAGTTGTGTGACCTAATGATATTTAAAAGGCATCATATAAGCACTTCTATGGAAAAAGTACATTTTATCAGCAGTGAAATTCTATGTAGGCAAACTATAAGAAATGCGTAGTTTCCTCTTGAATTTTATTGTTGTTCAAAGTTGATAAGTTGGGCTGGAGAGATTGTTTAGTGGATAAAAGCATACTGTACCAGCCTCACCACCTGATTTCAGTCTCCAGAATCCACAACAAGGTAGAGAAGAAAAGTGACTCCACAGAGTTATATTTGCACCTACATGCTACACCCACTCATCATGGCATGTGCACACACATGATACTAATAACTACAAACTGTTTGTTACTAAGTAAGCAACTATTACCATTAGCAGACCGAACTCTACTGGATTAGCAGAAAGGCGGCTCATAGGTGATGGAAGCAAGTGCTGTAGGTTTCAGAGTCCACAAACCAGTATTTGAACTACATTGGAACAATTACTTTGTATATAGCTTTGAGGAAGATTTTTTATTCCTTAAGCCTGTTACCCTGAATAGTGAGTACTAAGAAATTTCTAGTGAGTCTCAATTTTTAAAAAATATTTCTACATTGATAAAGTACCTCCAAAGGGTTTTAATTAATTTGAAAATGACAGGATTCTTTTATGGATGATTTTCCTTATCCACTCATGAGTTGATGGACATTTAGGTTGTCTTATTGCTTTAGTGAACCTGGGATACAGATGTCTCTTTCACATATTGAATACATCTCTTTAGATGCATAACCAGCAATGACATTGCTGCACCATGTAGTTTATTTTTAACTTCCTGAGGTGCATTAAGAAGAAAAAGACAGTGGGATAAACCTATTCATATTTACCTAGAAATTAATCTTTGGTTTTAGTTGGATTCTCACATCTGCTTCAATATTTAGATAGCCAAGAATATTGTTCAGATATGAAAAATTTTTTAAGCCTTTTCATGGAATTGTGGACTTTCCTTGCAACTTCATCATCGAACAGCTGACAGTAAATACTACTGAGGATGTGGAAGAGAAGAGACCTTATTCACTGCTGGTGGCAGTACAGTCTAACGCAGCCATTATGAAGATCAGTATGGAGGTTTCCCAATAATTAAAGAGCTGCTGTATGACCCAGTTATACCACCTAGGCAGATCCCCAAAGAACTCTGTCCTGCCACAGAGACAGTTGTACATCCATCCATGTCCATTGCTTTTCTATTCATGACAGCAAGGAAGTGGAACTAGCTAGTATGGCTAATGAAAATATGGTATATATACACAACGGAATTTTATTCAGATGTAAAGAAAGGTGAAATTAGGGAATTGTCAAGGAAATGGATGCATCTGGAAAGTATAACATTAAGGAAGGTGGTCCAAACTCAGACAGAAACTACCTGTTCTCTTACATGCAGATTCCAGTCTGTAATGTATAAGTGTGTATATGTATAAGTTATAATATACTTAGGTGTATATTATATTTACATATAAATAGATGTAAATGTGGATAAAGCATAAAACACTAGAAAGGGGATATGAAAATAAGTGCTTAGGAAGGATGGAGGAGGTGGAAGTGAGTGGTAAAAAGGACATGACACACAAGAGGGAAGTGGTAGTTTCTTATGTGTAGATGTGTAGTCTGAAATGTGAAATCAGAGAATGTTAATGAATTTTTTTATGTTCTTAGATTAAAAATCTCAGAATTGTTTTGCTTCTTCCTTTTTTTTTTTTTTTTTTTTTTTTTTCCTCTTGTGTTTTTGAGGCAAGCTTTTATATAGCCTGTGTTGGCTTTGAACTCATTTTGTAGCTGAAAGTATCCTTGAACTCTTGATACTATTGTCCCCACCTTCCAAGTGCCAAGGTTAACAGGCATGTGCTACCACAACTTGCTTAATTTCTTAGAATTTGAATGGAATACCATGCAGTGGTCATTAGAAAATATTGATATACTAAGCTATGCAGAATTTTACTAGGCATGGTGGGAAGCTGAAGCAGGAGAACCACATCTAGACTACAGACTAGGTGACTACTGTCAACTTGCATGCCACAAAGATAAGTATCAGTACAGTTAATTTACATGGATAAGTAGCTGTTGTAGCATATGGAATGCATTCATTTATATCTAATTCTTTTATTTATATACTTAAGAAATATTGTACTCTAGATAGCCAGCCATGTTAACTACTGAGTCTCTAAATTAGTTTTATAAAACACCTATTTACTTCCCAACTATTAGAAAATGCTTATAAGTCTTGCTTTATAAACAGTTTTAGTTCTGAAATTATGAAAATTTATTCTGAAACTTACTTCTGAATTATGAAATTTTTATTTAAATATATTTAAATTATTTTTCTTTAGAAACTTATCTTTCTGACATTATATATAAGCATATATATGTGTGTGTGTGTATATATATATGTATGTATGTATGTGTATATATATATATACATATATATATATATCCATAACATACCTTTATGAGCTTTTCCTGAAGAGATATATTCTTTAAAAAAAAAAAAAAAAAAAAAACCTAATACCAGCTCCCTTCTTTAAAGTACTCCCTGGGTAATTGTGGCATATGCCTTTAGTCCCAGCACTTGGGAGGTGGGGGTAGGCAGATCATTATGAGTTCAAAGCCAGCCTGGTCTACAGAATGTGTTCCAGGATAGGTTTCAAAGCTACACAGAGAAACTCGGTCTTAAAAAGTCAGACATGGTGGCACACACCTTTTATCCCAGCACTCAAGAGGCAGAGGCAAGGAGTTTCAGGCTAACCTGATCTTCACACCAAGTTCTAGACAGAGTCATGCATGGGGCTAGAGATACAGCTGAGTAGTTAAAAGCATGTATTGCTCATGCAGAGGACCCAAATTTAATGCACCTACCGGGCATTTGTAGTCACCTGTAACTCTAACTCCAGGGGGACCCATTACATTTGACCTCTGCAGAGTGAGCACCTGCACCCACATGCACATTCACAGAATAAAAAGAAATCACTCACCCTTGAATCTAAGAAAATGGAATATATATTTTCTCTCCCCCAAGCAGACACTGCTGAACAACCCCACAGTGAATCTTCTGTCAACAGAAAATGGTGGCTGTTCGGTCTGTTTGGTGTCCTTGCTGTTGGATTGCTTTGGTTCTTTCATACTCCTGCCATAGAAACCACAGCCATCCAAGAATTCCAGAACCAGATGAAACAACTTCAGTCTAAGTACCGGAGTCAAGACGAGAAGCTGTGGAAAAGAGGCACAACATTCCTAGAAAGACATCTGAATAGCTCCCTCCCTCGACACCAGCCTGCCATCCTTTTGCTCACTGCAGCCCAAGATGCTGAAGAAGTACTCAAGTGTCTGAGTGAACAAATTGCCGATGCCTATTCTTCCTTCCGGAGTGTCCGTGCCATCCGGATTGATGGGGCAGGGAAAGCTGCTCAAGACAGTGACCTCGTCAAACAAGAAGTAGATCTACAACTGAGCAATGGATTTAGAAATGGCCAGAATGCAGCTGTGGTACACCGCTTTGAGTCTCTGCCCGCAGGCTCAACCTTGATCTTCTATAAGTACTGTGACCATGAAAACGCAGCCTTCAAAGATGTAGCCCTAGTCCTGACTGTACTGTTGGAGGAGAAGACACTGAAAGCCAGTCTAGGCCTAAAGGAAATTGAAGAGAAAGTGAGAGATTTCCTCAAAGTCAAGTTCACCAACGCTAACATGGCCAGCTCCTACAACCACATGGATCCAGACAAGCTGAGTGGGCTCTGGAGCCGCATTTCTCACCTAGTGCTGCCCGTGCAGCCAGAGAATGCCCTGAAAGGGGGCAGCTGCTTATGAGGGGGAAAGCGGAAATCTCGTCTCGAGTTCTGAACATTTTTCAGACTTTAACCAGAGACGGAGTATGGAGCAGTTTTTGAAAACTGGTTTCTTTTTAAAGGAAGTTAAATTCATACATAAACGTGGAATACCGAAATCATTTATGCAGCCTGATTATCTGTGATTTGAGAGAACCATTTCTCTGTTTCCACTGAGAACTAACTGTTAGGAGTGTTTAGCATGATCTAAAGTATATGCAATTCCCCGAGGATTTGCGTTAATTCTGGCTGAATCATTCTTGCTGTGCTGTGACCAGTGAGAAGGACTAGGTGCCTTTCTCAAAGAATCAGCTTTATTTTTTAACTTCGGATATTTTTGTTGGTTTGTTTGTGACCTTATTAGTCTGATAGCTCTCCAATTGTAGCTATGGTTTCCCCATTATTTTTCCTTTTATGCCATTTAAATATGTGATCCTTAGCTTCCACTTGCAAAGACAAAAGTCATGAAAGGTCATCTGGATGTGCAGTTTAGCCTCCCTTCCCCCATTGGCTTTAGGGATGGGAGAAGAGGGTTCGGGAGGTGAAAAGGGAAGAGAAATTGTTGAGTGTAGAAGGAAAAGGAAGGGGAAAAAAATAGCTGCAAGCTGGGCATGGTAAGACATGCCTGTAATCTCACACTTTCTCTGGGTAGAGTCAGGAGGATCAGAAGTTCAAGGCCAGCCTCATCTATATAGTGAGTTTTCTGCCACCCTGGGTTACATGATACACAAAAAAGAGGGGGGCGCGGGGAGAAAAGGAAAAGGGGGTTTTCAAAATGAATGTTACTTTAAAAGAGAAGCATGAAAATGACAAAAAGCCTCTGAGATGTGGGTTACTCTAATATGTCTAGGCTGTTACCTCGGTGAGTTATTACAGTTTGCTTTTTATACTCTTTCCCCACTTAGAGAAGATCTTGGTGTGAGTCTAAGGTTAGTGGTAGAGCAATTGCCCAGCTTGATTGTTTTCCCGGGTTCAATAACCAGCATTCCACACACCTATAACCTCAGCACTCAACAAATTGAGGTGGCAGCATCTTGAAGGCAAGGCCAGCCTGGTGTGTACATATCATATCAGACCCAGTCTCAGTCCGACTCCCCAGTAAGGGCAATTGCATGGCCACCCTCCCAAGAAAGCCTGAATGTGATAGTTTATTCTTATTTGACACTTAACCAATTTTAAAAGCAGTCTCTTTGGTTATAGCCTGACAGTTTTTATCTTAAAGAATTTTCCAGTACATCCTCAACCTGATGGTTCAGTTTTTTTTTTTTTGTTTTTTTTTGTTTTTTTTTTTTAATTTTTTTGCTTTTTGCCAATACCAGGGATTGAACTGAGACCCACCCATGCTGGTCAAAGTGCTTTGCCACTGAACTACATTCCCCAGCAGTAGAAATACATTTTGCCGTCAGGTGGCTCATGTCTGTCATTCTAGCACTTGGGAAGCTGAAGCAGGAGGTGAATTCATGGCCAGCCTGCATGGGCTGCAGAATGAAATACTGTCTTACCCACCCCACCCCACCCACACACACAAAGACAGCTTCAAAAACTGGTAAATAGTTCTCTGCTGGGCTATTGAAGACTCCATTTTGTGCTTGTACCTCTGTACTAAAAATCCTGGACTAGCACTCCATAACAAATACAAAATTAACGTATGCACTTGAACAGTTTTATTGAGTGCCTCAAGCCAAAAAGAGTGACCCTTACCACACCTGATGAATGTTGGGCTTATGTCTCTACTGCGTAGTATTTTAGGGTTTTTTGCACTTACATCTTGGCTTTCTCATCTATCGTCTGCATTTTTGTCTTCAGCTCTTATAATTCTAGACCTGAGTTCCTTTGTCCATGGACATCTAAATGAAAATTATACTTTAGAGTACTAGCCAACCTTTCTTTACCCCTTGGGTGGTAGTAAATGGGGAAAAGTGGTCTAACTTCTTTCCAGGGAGATTACCAACATTTGTACCTTTATTATAACCCGTTCTTGTCAGAAGTCAGATGATCAGGTTTATTTTATAAAGAATTATAAAAAGTTTTGAAAAGTATTTTTTGCATACATATCGTATGGAAAAGGAAGTTTTATTAAATGTTCCACTGACTTAAATAATTTTGAAGTGATATGTTGCTTATGTCTTTCAGAAAAAATAAACAATTGTAATAGCTAATGTGTAAATAACTTACAAAGCTATTTTAGTAATTTAAATAAATTTACCTTTTGGGTTTGTACTCTGTGTGTTATCAACATAATCATTTATAAGCATTTTAAAAAATTAATCCAAATCTTTTTCTTGCAAATTTTAATGACCTTGGCTAAAAGAAGCTCAGGCCAAATGAGTACAGTGCTTGGAAACATGGTGACCATGATGTTTTTTATCAATGTGTTTTGACTTAGCATTAAGTACAGTTACTTTAATATCTTGACTTCTCAAGAGTCTCTGTAGCAGAGTTCTTAATGTGTTTAATTGCCTCCCTAAACAGCCTTTTTACATGTCCTAGTCACCCTCATTTTTATATCACATGTTTACTGAGTGTGTTTATAGACTATATTTTATGTTGCTTTATATAAAATAGATATTTTGACATACACGTACATCCATAAACCAGTTTTCACAGTCACTGAGGATGTATAATCAAGAATCTCCTTTTTTTGCATTTTATTTTATGTAAGTGTACACATGCCTTAGTACTCATGTACTGAGTGTACATTGTGGGAGTCATTTTTTGCTATGTGGGTTTTGGGGCTCTAACTCAGGTTCACACTTGGTGGCAACTGCCTTTACCAGCAGAGCCACTCATCCTGATTACATAGACATCACACACTGGCCGGGCATGCACAAAGCCCTGGGTTCAGTCCTCAGCACCTGTTATGTAAATAAGTAAAAGGAAAGTGACTTCCTGGGAGTTTTGTGTGGGTCAGCCTAGGCTAGATAGCATCACTATCTGCTAAGAAAACCAGGGTTGGGGTGATTTGCTCCCTGCACTGCAAAAGGCAACAGATCTGCATGTTACTTATACATGGCTTGAGCTCTACTTTCTGTTCATGTTTCGGATCCTTTCAAAAGAGAATCAAGTCACCAGTGGGAAAAGGGAAACTCAGGTCTCCAGAAATTGAGCACTGTGCTTTTTATTGGCAATAGTAACCCAGGAATTTCACAGTACATTATCAGTTTTACATTTTCTAGAAACTAAACCGGCTTCCCTTCTTTCAGCTACTTTCTTTACATTTTCTTATTCCCAAAACTGAAAATCAACAGATTTTCATTCGGTGATAGTTAACGGTGATGGAAGTTTGCATATTTCATGTCACTGATTATTGCCCAAGCTGAAAATGGAAAGCCTATTCCAGTGTGATCATATTAGTGCTCTATATGTTGGCTGTGTATACCTGGAGTTCTCATGAAGGTGATGAAGATGATGAAGCCATTGTCCCTACCATGGTCACAGAGTAACATCTTGTGAATGAGTTCACATAGTCTCCAAGGAAGATTTTCCTGGCTGACCACCAAGAACCCTGTGTGGCTTAAGAATGCTCTTGTCTGGAAGGGAAAGTATAGTCTCACCTGGGCAAACAGAAAAACTTGCACTGCACCCTATAAGCACAAGATGTTTGGCCTTTTATCTCCTGCATGTTCTTAGACTCTTGGACTACTTTTTCCCTACTCCCTTTCTACAGTTGCATTGCTTGGCTGAGTTTTGCTTCTAAGGCCTCTGAGTTGTAAGTAAAACCTTCCCTTACTCCTAATACTGCTGTAGGTACCGTGTGTGTGTGTGTGTGTGTGTGTGTGTGTGTGTGTGTGTGTGTGTGAGAGAGAGAGAGAGAGAGAGAGAGAGAGGACAGAGAGGGAGAGAGAGAGAGAGACCTTTATGATTATCTGTACACGTGGTGTAACTTCAAAACTTAAAAGAGACTTTTATGATCCTCAAAGAACCCAGTGATGGGAAATGAAAAGTTTATTGGTTACATGGATGACTTGAAGACTGGAAAAGGTCCATCACCAGTGTCACGGACAACCAGTAAGGCCCCCAGTAAAAAGCTTCCATAAGCTACTGGCTGAAGCTGTGGCCAGAGCCTGATTCTGTCCACCCTCAAACCTGTGTTGGAATGAATGACTCACTCACTCCAAAGTACTTGAGTGGCTGGTAAAGAGGTAAAGGAAATAGTTGTCTTCCGCCTTTTCTGACTGAATCTGACTGATGCAACTGGCTGGGCTCCTTCCCTTTGTTCTCATTTATCCTGCAGTACTCATGTGAGTACAACTCCTATTGCCATTTGCAGGGATCAGGAATTGTTAGTAGAGTAATGATGGTTGGTAATTGTACCTCACAGTGGTACACATTTATAGTTGAAGTCACTCAAGACCTAAGAGGATTGCTTGAGCCCAAGAGTTCAGGACTAACTAGCCTGGGCAATATAGTTAGACCCTGTCTATTAAAAGTTTAGAGACTGGAGTGGTTAAGAGTACTTGATGTTCTTGCAAGGACTTGGGGTTCAATTCCCAGCACTCTCATGGAGGCTCACCACTTCCTCAGGCACCAAGCATGTGTGTGGTACACAGACATACATGTAGGCAAAACACTCATACACACAAAATCTTTTAAAAAGTGCTTTTCAAAAAAATATTAAAATTTCAATTTGTTGAATAAAAACAGCAAGCTTTACAATAATCTGCTTTACCTAGAGAGAATGCATCTTTCTGGTTTTGTGGTTTCTTTTTCCTGTTGTTTTGGGGTCCTTTCCAAGAGCTTTGTGTAACAATTTCATCCTGGGTTCAGAAGTATTGTAAGTGAGGAGAGAAGAGGGCTACCAACACGAGTGGTCGAGGCACAGAGGGGTTCTCTGTGTAGCTCTGTCTGACCTGGAACTCACTATGTAACATAGACCAGTTCAAAGGCTGGCTTTGAACTCGGAAATTCACCTGAGTGCCAGGATTAAAGGCATGCACCAGCACACCCAGCCTTTTGAGTGTTCCTAAAGCAGCTGTCAAGTCTTATATCCTGTTATATGCCTAAGAGACTGTACTATATAACTTATGGCAGTCCTGTCTAGGAAAAAAACTACACACACACAAACACACATGAGTAGAGTTATCCAGTCATAAGCTAGTCCTGACTGTTAACAGATATTTATGTACAGAGGTGTGCTTTTGTAACTGAAGTTGCTACAGTGGTATTAGGAGGAAAATTTATTATACGTGCCTACATCAAAAACTAATAAATTTTTCTGGGTATGTTAACCGCACTCCTTCGATCTTAGCATTTGGGAAGTAGAGGCAGGAAGATCAAGAGTTCATAGTCAACCTCAGTGAGTTTGAGGCCAGCCTGGGCTATGTGATTCCCTGTCTCAAAAAACTTTTTAAAAGAACAACCTGCTATTATTTAGATTTACATTGTCCCCAAAGACCGATGTGTTGAGCAACAGTTCTCAACCTGTGAGTATTGACTCCTTTGGTATCAAATATAAGATATGCATATTAGATATTTACATTATGATTCATTTTACAGTTTTTAAGTAGCAATGGCATAACTTTATGTCATTTTATGGTTGGGGTCACTGCAACATGAGGAACTGTGTTAAAGAACTAGATTTAGGAAGGCTGGGAACCACTGGGTTAGAGGCGTAGGCCCCATCTTGACACTGTTAGGTGGCAGTGGAAACTTTAAAAGGTGAGGACTAGTGGTGGGGCAGGTCACCAGGTCATTAGTGACATCCTGAACAGGACTGTGGAATCCTAAGCCTTCAGTTCTTGGCCATGAGGTGAGTAGTTTCGTTCTGTCATGTGTTCCTGACATGATCTTGCCACAAATCCAAAAGTAACACGGACAAGCATTCATAGACATCGTATGTTCAAAAACCCTTTCTCTGTATAAGTTGAAAAAAAGAAATGGAGTGTTGTGAAAAAATTGACAGAACATTTTTTTTTTTCTTGACAAGAGAATAGAGTAGATGGAGAGATGGCTCAGCATTTTAAAGCCCATGTTTCTCCTGCAGAAGACAAGGGTTCAATTACCAGCACTCATGTGGTGGCTCATAACAGTATCTGACTCCAATACAAGTAGATCTGATGCTCTCTTCCAACCTCCAATGGCACCACGTGTGTACATTTATGTACATGCAGGCAAAACACCCATACATATAAAAATAAATAGATCTAAAAAATTAGAAATATCTAAAATATATCAGGAAAAAAAAATGACCATCGAGACAGCTCAGCACATAAAGGATCTTGCCACTAAACCTGGCCACCTGAGTTTGATCACCAGAACCCACATGGTAGATGATAATTGACTCCTGCAGGCTGTTTGCTGTCCCCTACCCCCAAACTGGGGTACATGTGTACCCATGTTGCTCTTACTAGTGACAGCCCAACACACCCTGATAAATTTTTAAAAGGCTTTATACTGATAACAGAGATACTAAGAGTCATTAAGGACTATTATGAATAACAATATACAAATTGGAAAACCTAGAAAAAAATGGATAATTCCGGAACACATACAGTCTATCAAAAAGGAATGAAGAGAAATGGAAAACTTGTACTAAATTGTAATAAAGCACCAAGGTTGTCAGTAATGAAAGTCTCCTATCAAAGGAAAGCCCAGGGCCAGGTGGCTTCACTGCTGAATTTTCCCAAACTTTTAAAGAACCAATAACAGTTCTTCTTAAACTATTTGAGAGAATTAAAATAAAGGAAACTCTTCAAACTCAAACCCAGAAAAGGACACAGTGACAAAATCAAATAGTGCATACCAGCATCCCTGATAAACACATGCAAGAATTCTCAAGAGAAACACTACCAAACTGAATCCAGCCGCACATATAAAGATGACACACCATGATCAACTAGGAATTGTCTCAGAGATGTAGGGGCAGCTCAATATATGGAAATAGAAAACACAGCATCTGGGCAGTGGTGGCACACGCCTTTAACCCCAGCATTCAGGAGGCAAAGGCAGGTGAATCTCTGTGAGTTCGAGACCAACCTGATCTCCAAAGAGAATGCCAGAATAGCCAGGGCTGTTACAGAGAGAAATCCTGTCTTGAAAAAAAACAAAACAAAACAAAAAAATCCAAACAACCACCAACCACCCCCCACAAAAAACCCAAAACCACAATATCATCAACAAAACAACAAAAATTTATTTCAGCTGATACAGAAAAACAATTTCATAAAATTCTGCTAGTAATTTTATTTACACTTGCAAATCCCAACACTGAAATTGCTATG